TTGGCACTGCATTTTGAATTCACCGTGTAATCGAAAAGCAGCTTCTTTTGAGAAGTGGTTGAAGGCTTAATTGCAAAGCAACATTTCCTCTCTGATGCCAGGACAAGGCTGAACTTACACAATTGCCTGCCTAATAAGCACATTTAACAGCCCGCAGCCTCTGCTTCCCCAAATCCTGAGGGAACAGCCATGAAATGGAGGAAAAGCTTGGCATGGCTGCTGGACTCAGGATGTCTGTCGTTCCCCCCATACCCTTCCCCCTCCCCCTGCTGTCCCCTGGAAGATGGAGACAAAAAGTTCTGGAAAGAATGGGGAGGATTGTATCTCTGGGGGCGGGGGGTTGGGTGCTTCCTGAGGCCTCCGTGTTCTCTCTGAAGTTGGAAACAACACTTCCTGTGCTGATGGTTCTGTTTTTTTCAGAAGAGCTGAGCTCAGAGATGGTGACTTTCTAAACCTCAGTTGGAAGCGTCAGCCAAGGTCAGCAAAGGCTGGTGCCGGGCAGGTTCTCAGCTCTTTCTGCCCTGTTGCCCCACGGCTGGTGCCTGTGGTTGATGATTGAGAGAAGGAGGGGTGGAGGAGGTTTCTTAGCTGCCCTTTGAAGGCTGGGAGGGCTGAGCTGCAGCCTGGGGACTGGTTAAAGGAATGTGAGACTCTGCTCTTGGATGATTTCCATGTTAATTAATCTCTGCCCTTTGGCCCCTGGACCCCAGCCAATCAGAACATGCGGAGAGAATATGTATCCTGCAGCTCCTTGGATTTTTTCCCCCTGAAGAGGCTGTTCTCCATACAAAAGAAAATAGATGTATTGTATAACAGCAGACAATTGCTCCGGAGAGCCCGAATTTTCATTATTTCAATATGTCAGGTGGTTTGAGCCAGTGAGGAGGATATTAAGCTCTGCCTCTGCCTCTGCCTCTGGCTGGGACAGCCTGCCCTGGAGCCGGAGAGCCAAGCAGCTGCAGGCAGCTTCTCACGTCTGTCCAGGCCCATCACTGCGTTCATGTCTCCTCCTTGCCACTAGAGCACAACCAGCTTGAGGGCAAGGGCAGAGGCTGCTTCGGGACGGCTGTGTGTGCTTTTTTCTCGTTTACCTCGATCTCCTTGCATTTTCCATCTTGGCTTCTCAGCCTCATTTCTGTGGGTCTAAAGATACCCTCCAGGTCCAGCTCGGGTGTTGCCTTCTTCCTCCTCGACTGGAAGTTGTCTGCCTGCACCACACCGATGCTCTTCACGCCCTCATCTCATGTTCACTTGTCGTGGAGCTATCCTGACACTCGCTTCCTCTCTGCGTTTGAAACACTGGCTGCCCGAGGTGCCTCTTTTCTGCAGCCACACCTCACACCGAGCCCTGTGCACGTGTGCACACGTGTACTTGACGAATGAATACATGAAAGAATAAGTCGAACACAAGCCCAGAGAGTTCTGTGTCCCCCCCTTGCAGTCGAAATGTCCTGACCTATTGTACACAGCATGTTGAGCAACCTCTTACCACAGCAGATTAAAGTCATTTGAGGCCAGGGGGCCCTGTTAGAACCCATGAAACTTAAAACACGCTCATACGCAATCTGCTAGTGTGTAAATCTGATTTGGTTTTCATTTTACAGGAAAAGCACATGGTAAAAAGTTCAGAATGATCAGGTTTCTCTCTTACAGAGCACCTCTGCCCAACAGGGCTTGTAAGAGGAAAGCTTATGTAATACACTTTCCAAAAGCCCCTCTCTGCTTGTGCATCGTGCCAAGCCACTCTTCTTTGAAAAGAAGGAAGGGCTGCAGTGCGAGGAGGAGGCCAAAGTTCATGTTACTTGTATGGGTTTACAGCTCCACGGGGCCTTTGGTATCTTTTTTCTTATACACAGTAACCTCAGGGGAAAGTGACATCTGCTCTTGTGGAAAACCCAGTGTCTGACCTCGCACTTTATCAGCCTGTGTGCTGTTGCTTCTGGGAATAAACTCTCAGATCGGGCTGTACTGGTAACCTAGACACCCGGACGGACTGTGTTCAGTGTCTCCTCTGTGCCTCTCATGGATTGCTGGTCCACCCCTGCCTGGAGACCTCTCCCACCTGGCACTGCCACCCTGTTGGAGTCTGCGTGTCTGCGGGGTGCCATTCACAGACTACACTGGGGATGGCACTCGCTGCACTGTGTCACATAGTGGTCCTCTGCTTTCCTTCGAGTAGGGCATTCTTCTTGTTTCAGCCAAGAGCCACCCCTGCAGGGAGTTTGCCCTAGCCTGACGAGAGTTTAGTAGTCCCTCTTCCAAACCTCAAGGCACGTGTTCATTAAGTTGACGGTCACCAAGTTGACAATCAAGGTGGCGTAAGGTTCCATAATCTCTTATGTGACACTCTTTGGGTCAGATATATTTTGGAAACATGTAGATTTGGGGATTAATTTGGAGTGGAAACCATTTATGTAGAGTGATTACTTCATGTATATTAGCCATCCTAGCACCTCGCACATAAATTTGCCAAAATAGCTGCTCTAATAACAAGCATTGAGTTGTTATTAATTAGATAATAGGGAACCATTTAATGGTTTAGATGGAGTTGGCCATATCTCCCTGAGCAGATGGAAATAAAGATAACTGAATTCTTAAAAAACAAACAAATCAACAACCTCTTGCTTATTCCCTAATGAAATTTAAAAATTAATGATATCATAACTTCTGTGATAAATACTTTCAGGCTTATAAGACCACCAATTATCTTAAAATAAAAGGTTTGAGATCAGTCCAGATGTGTTCTAAATTAGCACTGGTGTACTCTGTTACAACAGCCTGTTGTTGCAGGTTGGGCTCTGAGACGAGGACAGAATGTAGTTACAAGTTGAATGACAAGGATATAATTAATGTCTTCAAGCAAAATGCATATCATCTACATTCAATAATAAGGGTGGGGAAAGTCATGACAGAAAGGCCAGGAGTTTTCCCAAACTTGGCTTTGAAATTTAAAAATGGTGTTTATAATGACGGTTTTCTGATTTTATCATTTCTACAATAAGTCTGAATGGCAGAGACAATCCGTTTTGCCTCTGGATTTGGAGCTGACAGGACATTCAATAACCACATGTCCAATACACACAGTCGTCATTTATGAAAGCTTATGATGTTTGTCCAGTAGACATAATTATAGAATTATAACTGTTAGAGTTGGAAGACACATTAGCAGTAACGTAATTTCCAACCTCTGCATTTGACAAATGAGCGTTTGGGATCTAGAAAGAAAAGGGACTTGACTAAAACGCCTGCCCAGAACACACCTAAGAGTTGAGAAGAGAACTCGGGACTTCTGACACCATGTAGGTTTCTCTTTTCCCTCCTGTTCCTAGGGTTTTAGAGCAGTAGGGATAGAGCCCTCTCAGCTGCATGGGGAGGCAGTGGGGTGATTTGCACTGATTATTGACATCAGCCCTCCTCACAGCCTGGAGGTCTGGGCTCCGTCGGGCCAGTCATAGTATTTAACAAGTGGGATGTCTTCCTCAGGAGCAGCCTGGCTGGGGAGAAGTAGTTCTAGATGACTGGGCATCAGTGAGGTGGGAGCAAAGTGGCTTTGCTTTCCAGATCTGGAACTTCTGTGACTGACCTCCAAATCCAAAGTAGAACCGGTCAGATTGGGTTTGCTGTAGAACCCAGCTCCCTCTTATTGGGGTCCCAGCGGTGGGCCACTCACCGAGAATTTCCACAGGCCTCCCACGTCATCGCTTCTCTCGAAGCAGATGGGCTCCAGTCCCTCCTCTAGGCAGCACCGTATGGAGGCCAGGCCACTGACACCAGCTCCAATGATGGCCACTCTCTTCCCCGGGGCCATGCTTCCTGGAGCAGGGTCTGGACAGGGCTTCTTCAGAAGACCGTTCCTGAGCTCGGCAACTTTTCAGCAGAAATAACCAGCTGAAGTTTAAGAGTCAGCACCTTCACCTTAACAGAAGAACACAGAGAGACATATTAACAGTCGATGCTCATTGTTTTTGTTTTTTTTACCACTTTTGCGAATAAGGTTCTAAATCTGGTCTCTTCTCCAGATTATTCAACTTGCCCAACATGGTGGAGTCAATAAAGGCAAGAACAGGAAGGACCCTGAGGGTCATCAATCCCATGCTCTCATTACAAAGGAAGCAATTGTCACTCCAAGGAGATTAGAAATTAATTCTTCAGGGCTAATACTTCAAGGTCTCAGGGCTAACAAGTAAAGGCGTCAGAGCTAGAACTCAAGCCTCCCACATGCAACCCACAGGACCACGTCACCCTTACTCACTTGGCTCAAAGGGGCCTTACTCTTATTCCACCTCCTGCCTTTTCCCAGAGAACCAGCAGTGTTCTGAGTGTGGAAGAGATTGTCTTTTGAGGCAATATTTGAGAAAGGGGGTGGAGTTATTCTTAAAGTGACAATTCCTTTTTCTTTGTATTCCTTAGGGTGGAGTGCCCTGGTAAAACCTGCAAGAACCAAATGCAGTAGTGATGGGAAATGGGGGCGGGGAGGAGAGCAGAAGAATAAAGAGGTGGGGGAAGGGCAAGAATGCAGTCCCTGCTCTTGGGGACAAGCAGTAAAGCAGTCATTGATATGGTCACTGGAGCTGTAAGGCAAACCCCTGGGAGATTAAAGGAAGAATATTTTTTTGTTTATTTTGGCTTTAGAGCTGTAGAATATATATAAACAAAGGCTATGCACCTGGACTACAAGGAAAAGTTTTCTTGTGCCAATTTTTTTTTTAAGCCCAATTTTCTGGAAATTTAAGATAACCGGATTTGAGGAGCTGATACTAATTTTTGGAGATGAGTTTGTAAAACTAGTGAACTCGGGCAGAATTGTGAAGTCACTCCTCTGGCTCCCTCCCTCTTTTACATCTTCTCATCTTACTTCTGTACTCTTCCCTCCCTCCCTCCTCCCTCCTCCCCTCCTCCCTTCTCCCTCCCTCCTCCCTCCCTCCCTCCCCCCCCTCTTCCCTCCCTCCCTCCCTCCCTCCTTCCTTTCTTCCACTTCCCCGTGCATCTACTGCGGGTAATGTATTATAGGAGTCTCTTAGAGACTCAGCAATGAGCAGACAGCAGTTTCCATCTGGAAACATACAGTCCCGTGGAGGGAGAGATGACGAATGTCACTACAGAAGAAACGTCTAGGAATAAGAGGCTTCCAGAGGAAGTGAGAAGAGAGCTGAGTCTTGAAGGAATAGATGCTTGCCAGGTGGACAGTGGACAAGGAAACACGACAGCCAAAAGCAAAAATGTGCCACTGCAGCCTGGCAGTGAACAGCCTGGAGTTTATTAAGGGACATTTACATGGAGGCACATCCTGAGCACCTGCAAGATGAAGGGTACGTCCCCCACACTGCTGGGCAGGCACCGAAAACTGACATAAAACAGAGCAGGGTAGATAGGGCAGATGTGAGCAGACCCAGGTATGGGGAATGCTTGACTCCATCAGGAACCAGCACACCACAAGACAGTGGGCAGAGGAACTGGTTTATGTAAGGTGGAAACTATTGATTTTGATCACAGTCTCAGAGGAGGTTTACAGGAAGCAACCTCTGTTCTGGCCTGGGTCTGACTGGAGGGTCCGGCAGTGGTCATGTCACAGAGCAGTCTCTCCTTCCCAGGTGGAAGTAGCAGAATTCAACACACAGACATTGGATGGTAAAGGATATTGAAGTGTTAACTCAGGGGTTGGGTACCATCCTCTGGTTTATGATGATCCAGAATTTTGAGCGAGAAAATGACAAGGTCAGAAAGATCAGATTCAGATGGAAGTGAACAGTGACTAAAACCAGGGATCTCCAGATCTGGGAGCTTATTTCAATGGTCTCAGCCAGAGATGCCAAGGACTTAAATTACAGCAGTGCAAGGGGTGAAGGATGGAGGCTGGGCATGAGAGATATTTAAGGAGGCAGATGTTTCAGAACTGATTATAGATGTTTGGGGACTTGCTGACTAATTGTGCCCCCTCTGCCTGGTACCCCCATTCCATCTAGCAGTCTCCTCTAGTTCCATGTCCATGGATTGTGCATGTAAGTTCTGTGCCTTCTCCACTTACTTACTATTCTTAATATTCCCCTGTCTATCTTTGTACCTATGAATTATGTTTCTTAATCCCCATACATTTTCCCCATTTTCCTCCCAGCTGATAACCCTCTAAATGATCTCCATATCTGTGATTCCATTCTTGTTCTGCTTGTTTGCTTAGTTTGTTTTTTAGATTCAGTTGTTGATAGTTGTGAATTTGTTGCCATTTTACTGTTCATAGTTTTGAACAACTTCTTTTTCTTAAATAAATCCCTTTAACATTTCATGTAATAATGGTTTGGTGATGATGAATTCCTTTAGCCTTACCTTGTCTGGGAAGCACTTTATCTGCCCTTCCATTCTAAATGATAGCTTTGCTGGATAGAGTAATCTAGGTTGTAGCTCCTTGCCTTTCATCACTTTGAATACTTCTTGCCAGTCCCTGTTAGCCTGCAAAGTTTCTTTTGAGACATCAGCTGACAGCCTAATGGGAATTCCTTTGTAGGTAACTCTCTGCTTTTCTCTTGCAGCTTTTAAGATTCTTTCTTTATGTTTAATCTTTGGCATTCTAATTATGATGTGTCTTAGTGTGGTCCTCTTTGGGTCCTACTTGTTTGGGGTTGTCTGTGCTTCCTGGACTTGTATGTCTGTTTCCTTCACCAAATTAGGGAAGTTTTCTTTCATTATTTCTTCAAATAAGTTTTCAATTCCTTGTTCTTCCTCTTCTTCTGGAATCCCTATGATTTGGATGTTGATATGTTTGGAGATGTCCCAGAGGCTTCTTATAGTATCCTCCTTTTTTTTTTTGAATTATTTTTTTTCTTGCTGCTCTGGTTGAATGCTTATTTCTTCCTTATGTTCCAAATCATTGATTTGAATCCTGGATTCCTACCCTCCACAATTGGTTCCTATAGAGTTTTCTTTATTTCATTTAGTGTACTTTTCATTTCTTCGTAGGTGTTTTTTATTTTGTTGTCATACTCATTGAGTTCTTTGAGCATTCGGATAACCAGTGTTTTGAACTTTGTATCTGATAGCTTACTTATCTCCATTTCATTTAGTTCTTTTTCTGGAGTTTTGTTCTTTTCTTTCATTTGGGCCATATGTCTTTGTCTCCTCATATTGGCAGCCTCCCTGTGTTTGCTTCTGTGTATTAGGTAGAGCTGCTTTTACTCCCTCTCTAGTGGCACGGCCTATTGTAGAATAGACACCTGTACATTGTGTGGGGTGGAGTCTTAGGTAATTGCCAGAGCAGGGCAACCCACTTCACTGCTTTGTGGCTCCGTGTGGGGGCAGGGCTCAGAGAGAGGACACTGCTGCCGCCTGGCTTCTGGAGGTTTGCCCGGAGCTTGCCTTGTGTGGCTGGCACCCTTCCAGCTGCTGCCCTGGTGCTGAGTTCCAGAGGGGGTGTCTCTGCGTATGTGTTAAAGTCCATGTGGGTCCTTTAAGGGGAGTCTCCTAAAAATAAGACAGTTTCTTCCACTGCCCTGATCCCCACTGGTTTTTACAGCCAGAAGTTATGGGGCTTTATCTTCCTGGTGTGGAACCCTGTGCTGTGCAGTTTGACCTGGGGCTGGAATCGCTCACTCCCAAGATATCCCTCCTGATTTTTATCCACCGCACATGAATTCGGGACTGCGTGCTCCTCCACCACCACCTCTTTGCACCTTACCATGTCTCTATACCCCTCTGCTTGTCTCCGTGTCTTCGCCCCTCCTATCCATCTGGATGAATGTGGCTTCTTTAAGTCCTTGGTTGTCAGACTTCCATACAGCTCAATTTTCTGATGGTTCTGGGTGTTATTTGTTTCGAGGTTTATTAGTAGTTCTTTCTGTGGTTGCAGGAGGAGGCGAAGCGTCTTTACCTATGCCTCCATCTTGACTGGCAGTCCGACATTCACCAATTTTGGTAAGTTTTTTTTTAAATGCATGCTGATATGACAACTGTTACAATTCATTCTAACAACATTGTTTAGCATGAAGTTAAAGACAACGGAGCACTATTAGGGTCATCTTACAGAAAAAAACAAACAAACTTTTTGGCCAACCCACTAGTTCTTAGCCTTTCGGTACTTGTGACGCAGGAGGGATTCCACAGGGGGAGTGTCACTAGGCAGTGTCTGGGACACTGGGTCATGTGGCATTGAATGGAAACCAGTCCTGCATCCTCAGACACCTAAACACACTCATACTCTCCTCCAATAGTAATACAGTAAATATCACTGTATCCCATTGGTTGTATATTTTGTGATAACTTTTGCCAGACATGAGCTCTCTGCTCTGTAAAATAAACAAATTGAAATAGGCAATTACTAAAGTCCTTTCAGCATTCTGTGAATCTCTTACTTTACTAAGTGTCAGTAAACCTTTTCAAAGATAGGAAATGTAAGCTAAAGGTAACACAAATACCTTTACGCTGCTTAGGAGGGTCTTCCTTGTTCTGTGAGCCCCACCACTGTCCAAAAGTTGATTTCCCTTGGTTGCTGAGGGCCTTTTGTTAAGGTGACAGTTTTAGCTGATGCAGCTGAGGGTATAGGAGAGCGAGGAGTGGGGGCCGGGGAGTCTTTGAAGTGGATCGCTTCGGCAAGAGCTGTTGCTGTGCTGTGTGTCCCTTTCCCGTCAAAGAACTGGGATCAGAAGACAGTACACTGATCCGACCACTTGGAGAGAAGTTAGGGGGCTTGGGCCTTCGTCTGCCAGGCTGCTGTCTGGGGAGCCTGGGCTGTGAGTTCCGGACTGGCCAGCTGTGAGGAGAGCTGCTTCTGTGTTGGGTTTGGCTTGTTGAGCCCAGGCATGTATAAGGGTTTCCTGAAGGTCAAAGGTGAACCACCCGAGGTAGCTAACATGGGGTCATATTAGGTCCTGTCCAACAGGGCTGCCTGGGGCATGGGGTGGGGGCCCCCCAGTGTGAGGAGCAGCTGCTGAGAAAGCATCTGCCAGAACAGGGCCTGTTCTTCTGGGGCAAGGAAACTATTGGGTAGAGGTCCAATAGCTTTCTTCAAGCATATGTCATTTACTTTTATAAAATAAAAAATAAAAGGTAGAAGGACAATAATTCGACAGTCTTTTATTTGATCTCTGCTTGTTGAACCCAACAGCCATAAGAACTGATTTCTTTCACAGTCATGCCTGTGAATGCCTGTAGCAGTGCATTGTTACCTGCTACTGATAACAACATGAGATAGGGACACAGTTTGTTTGAAGCATCTAGATAGGTTCATTGTGGTCCACACCATCACCTCTGCAGGCCCACTCTCACCATAGAGATGCTCCCTCACTCCCTGGCCTGGGCCGTGCCTGCCTGCTTGTGTCTTCTCTCCCCAGGGAGAGAAGGAGGCAGACAAAGAAGAAGACTTAGCCTTCCCTTTTCTGTCATATGATATTATGGCACATCACCGTGTAGTGACCTCCCCTAGTAGCCAAGAGAGAGCAAGTGGTTCAGTCGGGAAGGCAGAAGGGTCAGAATGGATTCCCTCCCTCTCTCCAGTGACCACCTCCTCTTCTCAGTACCCATTTCCTCCCCTGCCCCCCGGCCCCTGCCCTGTCAAATGAACTTAGGCTCAACTTGATTCTTTCTGAGGAACTCTTCTGCTTATAGCAGTAAGTTTCTTTCTTTTTTTCTTCCTCAGGGGCTGTGTTTCTGCAACTGGGGCCTCAGATTCTTCAGGAAATTACTCTTCCTAAACCACCCACTGTGTTGTGCTTCCCACTGGCATTCATGCTCTGCCTCATCTTACTGGTCTCACCATTGCTCTGCATGTGCCCAGTCTACAGCACATCTGGCCCCTTAATGCCCATTGCACACACCATAGTTCTTCTTCTCTCTGCCTGGGGTCTCGTTCCCTCTGAAACTGGAGGTGGGGGTCTCTTCCACCCCATGCCATTTCCGTACAAGTCCTGTGCATGCCTCAGGACCCTTAGCACACCTCCCTCTCCTCAAAAAGCTCTCCTCATGTCCTCACATATTTCTGCTGAGTCCCCTTAGATTGAGCACTGTATCCCACACCACTTGACATTGTAGACTTGCAGGGGTGGTTGGCTAACCGTCTTATGAATGTTCATTCTTTTCTCTGTGAACAGGGTTCGTATTTCCTACCAGAGATCATAATGTGTACTTTTAATTTATCCTCCTTAACACCCAGCAGAGAGTTGGGTATTCAGCAGGAGCTTAATATGCAAATATTGACTTAACTCCGTGTCCCCTTTGTAAGTGTTTTTTTGTAAGTAGCACAGAACAATGATTAAATTCACCTGCCGGGAATTGCAGGCTCTCTGGTACCCTGGGATTTTGGAGTAACTTCATCTGTTTCCACAAGAATGCTTGGGGTCATTCTTACTTTGTTTTGACTATAATATGCTATGTTTATCTCTTCAGGCAAGTCTCTGCCAAATACATTTTTTTTAGTGTATTAGTACAGGTTGCAAAACACATTCTCCACATTTGCTGAGTTATGTGAAACTAGCTTTAGGGTTTGGATCCACTTAAGTCCATGAGATTCTGGCACACATCTTGCTTCTGACATGGTCAGGGGGAGGCAGGGGAAGGCAGGGGGAAGTTTCCAGAGTTTGAATTAGGTCAGTCCCTCCACAAAGAACACATTTTCTTTTGTTTCCTCAAGTGGCATGTCATTTAACTGAGGCATTCCCGTAGTCAAAAGTCCATGGTGTCACCCAAGCCCGATTTCCAGCGACCGATAGTCAATTCTGTTCAAGTCCTTCATTAACTCAATTAGCCATTCATTCATTCATATATATATATATATATATATATATATATATATATATATACCTGCTATGTGCCAGCTACAGCTGTAGGCCGTGGGGATTCAGCAGTGAGTGAATTCAACAGTGAGTTATGAGAAGTCGCAGGAGATGAGGAGGTGTGTGAGGTGTGTGGCTGTGATGGAGGAGGGTGGTGGTGGACAGGGGAGAGATTAAGACAAGCACCTGACTCTAGTCCAGGGCAACATGCAAGTTAACTCTGAGACAAAGGAGACAGTGCCCATGATTATCCTGGGGTAGAATGAAGAAAGTCTTTATGGAGGGAGTGGTGTTTTGATGAGTTTAAAAAATGAGTGCTGATCATTATTTTTTCTCCGCCTCAAACCCGTTCTTTTATGCTCTGCTTTCTGATGCTGGCCCTGGGACTCTGCAAACCTCTTCTCCTTTGCCAGCCAGAAGCCTGGGAAAACAGGAAGGTGTGTTCCTCTCCCTGTTCACTTCCTGTTCCTCTCAGCATCGTGCAGCAAATGTCCTCACCCCAGCAGCCATGCCATCACCATCGCTGGTTCACTTGGATAGTGGTTCTGGCACCTGAGCACCAATGTCTCCATGCTGCCTTAGAGAGACCAGCCCCAGCCAGCTGGCACCCTCCTCAGAGACGAGGTGCCAGCTCTGCATGTTCCCTCCAGGCTTCTCAGGTTCAACAATCCCTGTTCCTTTCCTTTGTCTCTTCAGGTCTGGTGGTGGTAGCTCCTTCTGCAGCCACTGCCTCTGACATTCTGTGTTCTCTTCTTGCCTTTTTGGAGTCTTTACTACTCACCAACAATTTTTAATGACAAATTTTCTGTGTTAAAATAACTAGGGAGTTGGCACCAGAAATGCTCTATGGAAATGACACTCAAAAGTCAGATTTGGGTGGTGGTTTGGTCATGTCCTTGAACTCGAACGCAGTGCTGAACTTTCTGACAGTAGTGAATCAGGATGCAGTAATCCACCACAGAGTAACCGTATTATCACCTGTGTTTGATTGTGAGGAAGTACCTACTGAAGCAGGTGTCTTGGGGGACCCCATGGCTGGGACACTTACCTGTGTGACAATAGTCATGGCCAGTGGGAGGGAAGGCTACTTCTGAGCATGCTGAGGCTCTTACAGAAGAAAAGGACAGGCTCACATCTTTAGACTCCCAGTACAATTCTCAGTCAGAGAGCCCGAGAGCTCTTGTGGTGGACCTATAAGAATCTCTTATTTCTTATAGCTTCAGAGCTAACCTTGCTGATAATCAGAGCAAATTTTACTTTTTCAGATTTTAGAATTACAACATAAGCTGCACCCCCAGCCTCATCAACCTTTCAATGAAACTGAGAATCTTGAGCCTTTGGGCCACTCCAAGGCTCTCTTACAGTGGAAGCAGCCCACCTACCATGTCTGAAGGTGTGAAAGATTCTGCAATAACCTCACTGGGGGCTCTTGCTTTGCAAAAGGATGGCTGTGCTTCTCCAGGTTGACCCTTGCCCACCCCTCGTGGCCATTAGACTCATAACCAGACTTAGACCTCAGCCTGCTCCAGGGCCACAAGTGTAAAGTCTGACTCAGGAGCAAAGAGTAAGGTGGGTTTGAAAGATGCTTGGATCCCAAGCAGGCAGATAACGATACATATAGACAGGAAGATGGGCTTATTCAGGAAGCAAACTGTCAATCATACAATTACTCTGGAACATAGTTACAGGTAGGAATGGAAAAGTAGGTTGAGACATACTGGAAGGCGCCTTGCGTGTGATTTAATGGAGAAAGAAGTAGCAGCAACTTCTGGCCAAGATGGAGGCATAGGTAGGCACACCGTGCCTCCTTGCACATCCAAGATAGAGACAACAACAATACAGAAACAGAATAACAACCAAAACTGACAGAAAATTGATCTGAATGCAAGTCGGACAACCAAGAAAATAGACGCATTCATCCAGACTGGTAGGAGGGGCGGAGTCAGGCAACCCAGGCGTGGAGAGTAGAGAGCGTTGGTACCGGGTGTGTGAGGCATCCGGGGCACACAAGACTGCAGTAGGTGGACCCTGAATGCGCAAGTGGCAGCTGGCAGACCCCGGCTGAGGGGTGGCAACCGGCAGACCCAGCGAGGTGGCGATTGTGAAGAAGGCACTGCGCACAACCCAGGATCACAGCACTGGGAAATAGACCCTTGGGGCACTGATTGAGGACACCTGTGGGGATTGAGGAGCAGCCTCTCAGTAGAGGTCCTTGGAGGGTCCCATGGCGTGCACAAGCCCACCCACATGGGAATTGGCACCAGAGGGGTCCAGTTTGCTCAGGGGAAGCAGCGGAAGGGACTGAGGTCCCATGGAGAGCGAAGCAAGTGCCATTGTTCCCTCTCGGACCCCGCCCCCACATACAAAGTAAAAACCCAGCGACTAGGTTGCCCCGCTCTGGTGAACACCTAAGGCTCTGCCCCTCATAAGTAACAGGTGCAACCAGACCAAAGGGGGGAAAAAAAAGATGGCTCAAACAGAATTGAAAGCCCCAGAGCCAGTTTTTTTTAAGTGACTGAGGGATAGCCAACCTATCAGATGCACAGTTCAAAGCACTGGTGATCAGGTTGCTCACAGAATTGGTTGATTTTGGTCACAAATTAGATGAACAAATGAAGGCTACAATAAGTGAAATGAAGAAAAATACACAGGGAACCAATAGTGATGGAATGAAAGCTGGGTTTCACATCAATGGAGTGGACCAGAAGGAAGAAAGAAACATCCAACCAGAACACAATGAAGAAATAAGAATTCAAAAAAATGAGGAGAGGCTTAGGAACCCCCAGGACATCTTTAAATGTTCCAACATCCAAATTATAGGGGTGCCAGAAGGAGAAGAGGAAGAGCAACAAGTGGAAAAGTTATTTGAACAAATAATAAAGGAGAACTTTCCCATTCTGGCAAAGGAAATAGACTTCCAGGAAGTCCAGGAAGCTCAGAGAGTCCCAAAGAAGTTGGAGCCAGGAAGAAACACACCAAGGCAAGTAATAATTACATTAGCCAAGATTAAAATGAAGGAGAGAATCCTAGAAGCAGCAAGAGAAAAGGAGACAGTAACCTACAAAGGAGTTCCCATCAGACTGTCAGCTGATATCTCAAAAGAGACCTTGCAGGCAAGAAGGGGCTAGAAAGAAGTATTCCAAGTCATGAAAGGCAAGGACCTCCATCCCAGATTGCTCTATCCAGCAAAGCTTTCATTTAGCATGGAAGGGCAGATAAAGTACTTCTCAGATAAGGTCAAGTTAAAGGAGTTCATCATCACCAAGCCCTAATTATATGAAATGTTAAAGGGACTTATCTAAGAAAAAGATAAAAAAACATGTACAGTAAAATGACAGCAAACTCATAATTATTAACAACCACACCTAAAACAAAAACAAAAAGAAACTTAGCAAACAACTAGAACAGGAACAGAACCACAGAAATGGAGATCACATGGAGGGTTATCAACAGGGGAGTGGGAGGAGGAGAGAGGGGAAAAAGGTACAGAGAATAAGTAGCATAGAATGTAGGTAGAAAACAGACAGGGGGAGGGCAAAAACAGTATGGGAAATGTAGAAGCTAAAGAACTTATGACACATGGACGTGAACTAAAGGGGGGGAATGTAGGTGGGAGAGGGTGTACAGGGTGGAGGGGATTGAAGGGGGTAATGGGACAACTGTAATAGCATAATCAATAAAATATATTAAAAAATTAAAAAAAAACAATAGTCAAAAGAGAAAAAAGAAAGAAGCAGCAGCAAAGATTTTGAACAGAATGATGGGTTTAGAGGCTCCCTTCAGGAGGGTGGTCTGGTGTATAGTCAGGGGCCTGTTTTAATAGGAGGTAGTGATAGCTGGATCTGGCTGGTTGGCAGTGGGAATGAAAAGGTGGAGAGAGGAATGCAAATGATGAGGCTGTTTGGAAGATACTTTGGCAGTTTCTCACTGAAAGGTACTACAAATGCACCAGGTTTGGGACTGATGAACTTTAGGCATCTAGCTATTGTGGCTAAGAAAACAGCACAGTTGGGATTAAAATTTGGTTGTGGTTGGTAACCACTGCATATTTCCTGGGTCTAAAGCTAGAGGACTAGACCAGATTATGTTTTAGGCACTTTATTCTTTATTTTTTAATATTCTGTGGCATATTTTCTTTTTTATTAACTTGTGTATTTGTTTATTGACTTTCCCCCCAATAGGATGTAACCTTCTTAAGGGTAGGGATGATTTTTATTCAATTCACTGTTCAATCCCCAAAGCCTAGAGTAGACCCTAGCACACAAGCACCCAGTAACTCTGGTGAAAAGCGTGAATTCTCCTTGTTCCTTACTTTTATCCCACGGTGTTTGTCCTCCTCTTTCTCAGTAGGATATTACCCTCTGGGTTCATCCAAGTTATCCATGTTGTCACAAATGGCAAGAGATCATTCTTTTCTATGGCTGAGCAACATTGCACGCACACATATAATTTTCTTAGTCCATTTATTTATGGGCACTTAGGTTTATTCCATATCTTGGCAATTCTCAATAATGCTGCAATGGACATAAGGGTACATACATTTTTTAAAATTAGTGTCTTTGTTTTCTTTGCATTGATGCCCAGAACTGGAATTGCTAGATCATATGGTAGCTGTATTTTTAATTTCTAAGGAACCTCCATACTGTTTTCTATAATGGATACACCAATTTGAAATCCCCTTCACAGTGCAGGAGGGTTCCCTTTTCTCAGCATCCTTGCCAATGTTGTTATTTTTTGTCTATTTTGAGAATAGCAAATCTGACAGGTGTGCAGTGTTATTGTGGCTTTGATTTGCATTTCCCTGATGACTGGTGATGTTGAACACATTTTCACATGCCTGTTGGCCATCTGTGTATCTTCTTTGGAAAAAATGTCTGTTCAGGTAGTAATGAAGAGCCCTGGATGTGATGTTTCTGAGCTTAAATTTATTTCTCTTCTCTCCCTAAGTACTATGATGGTTCACCCAATCTCTCTGACACTCAGATTCCCTCAGGATATCAAACCTTTTACAGAAACTTCAAAATCTGTATCAGGCTCATTGTATTCGGTGCTATGTCTGTGGGTTTTTTTTGAAGGGGTGTTGTTATGTTTTGTTTTGTAGAAATCTAGGTGTATTAGTTTCCTATTGCTGCTCTAATGAATTATTGTACATTTAGTGGCTTAAAACAACACACTTACCGTCTCAGTTCTGGAGGTCAGAGGTCCAAAATCAGTTTTAAAGGGCTGCAGTCAAGGTGCTGGGCCTTGACTGCTGGGCAAGGAACAGAGCCAAGGGGGGCGTACGATATACTGTTACCAGAAGGACCCCCCAATAGGTTTGCTATGCTTGCTGCCAGAGGAAAGACATCTCTCAATGCCAGAGATTTGTGGAAAGGAATTATTTATTTAAAAGCTATACAGACTTAGAGTTGTGACTTAATGTCTTCATTAAAATACTAAAGTCCTTTAGAATACCCACAGACGCACATAATCCACCCTTCTCCCTCTGCCCACCCCAGTCTGGGGTATCGTATCTCAGGAAAAGAAGTAGAAGTCTGTGATTCAGGCTCCCAGCACCATCAGCTGTGTCACCGCCATGATCTCGTTAATCCAGAGCCATGTGGCACCTTTTCATGGCCTACCAGCAAGAGTCCTTTCACCTCTTTTCTTCCAGGTAAAGTCTCTCCTGCTTCCTAAGCCATGTGGCAAAAGGGAGCACCCCAAAGCTGTGGGGTCCCTACTCTGCCAAAGCTGCGTGGTTCTGTCCCCCTGTATGGCTGCCATGCCTGGGTTTGAATCCCTGAGCCAATCTTCCTCTGCGGCCCTATTTCCAACACCTCCTGCAATCAGTGACACCTGCTGGCATTCCCGTATTCTTCCAGCTTTGCTGGGCTGCCATCATAAGTCTGGGCAGGTGTGGCCCCATGGTGTGGAGCCAATCTTCTCCAAGCTCTCATGCAGGCGCTGTAACCAGGTGGAGCTGCCTCCAGTTTCATCTTGGGTGGAAGTCACTTCCATCCTCCTGGCTCAAAGCATGGCCACAGCTATTTAACATATCTATGAAACCAGTTAAAGGTTAGAGATATGTTACATGACCATGCCAGAGGTTAGCTGCAAAGCTGTTGCTATATAACACAACTCCCAATGGCCCTGCTCCATGTGTCCCATCCCCCAGCTCAGCCTTGTCGCGGGGTGAGGACACCCTGTATGTTTTCCGAATATTTCCTGGACACCTTGAGTTCTGGACCCCATTACAAATCCCATTTGGGACCCCCCTCTTGGCTACACACTGTTATAGCAGGACCGTGCTCACTCTGGCAGCTCTAGCAGGGGAATCCGTTTCCCTGCCTGTTTCAGCTCCTAGAGCTGCATCCCTTGGATCATGAGCCCAGGCTCCCTCTTCCAAGCCAGCATGGTAACATCTTCAGAAGCCTTTTTCTTCTCTGACTTCCCACTCTCCTTGTAGAAAGGCCCCTGCGATCCCATTGGTTCCACCAGGTAATCCAGGCAGTCTTCCCATCTCGAGGTTCTCAATGGAATTACATCTGTGAACTTGCTTTGCCTGTGTCAGGTAACAGATTCGCAGATTCTGGGGAGTAGGAATTGGATATCTTCCAGGAGGTTACTGTTCAGCATCCAGCTAAGTTTAGAAGATGAGAAAGGAAATTTGCCTTGATTTTGAAAAGTCAGTTCTGGGACATCAGGATAATGTGAAATAATATGAATTAAGGGGTAAATTCAAATCATCCATTCTCTCATTATTTTTAATACTCAGTAATGCTCATTAATATCTGAAAGTGTTTATTAAAGTAGGAGGGCAATATGTCCTGTTAGTGTTTTGTTCATTTGGCAATCTTCACTGAGCATATATTAGGTGCCACGTACTGTGAGTTGCAGAGCACACAACCAAGTGTGAGATACATGTACTTTCCAGAAGCTTCAGTCTCGTGGGGCAGAGAAGTGAATGAGTAATTACCCTACAGCCTGATGAGTGCAATGAAAAGAACGCAGAGTGTTAAGGGAAATATCCCATAGGAGCCATACCACCTCCTTGCTCGAAGGGGCCGGGAGAAGGCATCTCAGGTCTGTCCATTGAGTTTGATGGGAGCAGCGGCACCAGGGTTTGACTCTCAGCAATGGGGGGGACTGTTCTGTGGTCTCTGCAAAGCTGCCGCCTCCACATCTGGTGCGGGAGCTTGAGGTCCCCAGGGCAGGCAGTGGGGCTGGGAAGGGAGGCTGGGTGTTAAGGGGAGACGGAGGGCAAGGTGGAACCCACGAGCTTGGGATTGTCAGTCTCTTCCTGCTTCCAGTGTCAGTGATGTTGACGATGTGGGTGTCACCAGGGACACTGGTGTCTTTGTCAGCAGAACTAGACCCACCTGACCCAGAAGTCAGAGAAGCTGATGGGGGACCCAAGGGAAGGTTGGGGGCTGCTGCCCCATGCCAGTGCGGGAGCCCGCAGAGCAGTGAGAACATGCATGCGCTCCAGGCTGACACATGACAGAGCCACAGCACCCGCTTCGACAGGAAAGAGGGGGCGCTCATCTCCCTGGGAGAGGTGCCCTGTGGCTCAAGGGGCGTGTGCACAGGGTTGGAGTGCTGGTACAGGAATGGGAGGAGGGTGGAACCATTCCGTCAGCAGCATTTGTGTCAGCTTTCTCACAGAGCAGAGCAGTGTGTGACACTGGGTCCTGAGGGCAATGGGAAGCCTCTGGGATTGACTATCCAGTTTTCACTTCAAAAAGCTTAAAGCCATCAGCACAGCAGCACAGGGTTCCCCTTGGGTCTTGGCTGTCCCCAATCTTTTTTAAAATAATTTTTTATTTTAAAGTTACAGTTGACGTATAATATTAGTTTCAGGTGTACAACCCAGTAATTAGACATTTATGTACCATACGAGTGATCACCCTTATACATCTAGTGCTCATCTTACCCCCTTGTATCTGCAACAGGCTCTCCAGTGAGCAACCCCCCAACTCTTCTTGCCCCATTGTTACCACCTGGCATACACTTCCCCGCTCCCCGCTCCCCCTGCCCCTGCAAGTTCTGTTTCATCCTTTGTGAATACGTCCTCATGGCAACATTCATCCCAGCGAGATGGACAGAAATAACCAAATCCAGCATCCCTAGACTGTTACCTTCCTGAGGACAGCGACATTGTCTTTGTCCCCACATGTCCCCCTGCCTAGCACAGTGTCTGGCTTACTGATTGAAATAAGTCCCATGAGTTTCTCATCAAACACTTCGCTTATATGATTTTTGATGTTATTATTGGGTTTGATGAATTAAGGCTTCCGATCCCCATCAGACATAGAGAGGCAGCAGATTTCTGTATTTGAAGGCCGTTAAGGAGGAACAGTAAAATGGCCCCTAGCATCCTTAGAGGAAAAGGAAAATCATTGCTCTTCTGAGTGGTGCCTTGGTGAATGTCTCATTCTTTCACAAAATTTTCCATCGTTCTCATGCACAAGGCCTCTCTTCCCGCTCCTGGTTTCTTTCATCTCCACAGGGCTTTTCTGTCACATCATTGGGCGAGATATAATTATACAGAGGCTTGAATTTCTTGATGTAGATAAAGTTAAACAGTCTTCGGGAGGTTTGTTTAATAACCGAGGAGGTCAGTTTATTGGCCACGTTCTTGAGAAGTTTGTGGGTTTTGCTCGCCAAGGCCTTGATCTCTGGGTCTTCGTCGTCCAGCACCCGGTCGATACCTGCAATGGCAGGGGGCCCTCAGCAATCATACATGGACGTTTCTCGGCCCCCCTCTCTCCCTTTCTTCCCCTCTCTCCAAATATAAATAAAGTCTTAAAAAAAGAAATAGAGTAAAAGAGGTGCACTTTTAGAAAAAAGAGGAAAAGGAGCAGGAGGAAGAAAGAAGAAAAGGGTTTGAGACACAGAGAATTTAGCAGGCAGTCAATAAATATGTATTGACTAAACTAGTGAGTACAAGAGTGAAAAAGGAGGGAGATAATGATGTGTCAGTGTAGGTGCATCAGTTGTAACAAATACACCGTGTGGTGGGGGATGTTGATCATGGGGGCGCTGCACATGGGTGGGGGCAGGAAGTATGTGAGGAATCTCTATACATTCCACTCAATTTTGCTGAAACTCTAAAACTATTCTACCTTACATGTTTGTAATTCTAATTCTGGTGGGGAATTAGAGGCTGAGAGAGAGATGCCAAAGATCCAAACCTTCGGATGGAATAAACTATGCTCCTCTTTAAGTCCCTCTGGTGCAGGTGGACATTGCTGTCTCCTAAAACTCAAGTTCTCTGAGGGCAGGGACTTGGTTTTGTTTGCCGCTGTATCCCCAGCATCTAGACTAGCACTGGAAAAAATATATGTTGGATGAGTGAGTGAGCGAGTTCTCAACTCTCTGTGGTGTTCCTAAGGGAGGGTAAGTAGAAGGAGAAGTGAGAGAATAAGAAGGAACAAAGGATGCCCTTTAACCCAGTCTCCCACTGATTCTCCCCTAACCCCACCCTCCTCCCACCCCCAGCACCCACATTGTTATAGAACTCTTTTGAGTAGAACCACACATAGTAAATTTACTCAGACCTGGGCATGGTTTCACCCTACCTCCAACACTTACCCTCAAGTATGACCTCAATGTCATCTCTGAGCAGTAAATGGCCACCCAATGTTGTCAGGTACCCTGTGCACAAAATAAAACCCACAACACATTAGGAAAATACTTTCTCTGATGTTACCTAGCTACCCTCATTGCCTTCTTGAAAGCAAAGCCTCCCTAGATTATCCCGGTGCCCTCTTTGAATGCTCTCACATACTTATGCACATAACAAAACCACTGAAAAGTATGCATGTTTATAACCATGCACAGGTCAACGAATGACCACAAAGTGAACACTTCTACGACCGCTCAGGTCACTAAACAGGATGTGACTAGCATCCCGGAGACTTTCCTCATGGTCCTTCCCGGTTGGCTCCTCGGTCCTTCAGAACGCATTCTTTTGTGTCTGCCTTCTCTGGCTCACCACTTCACTTTGCTAGCATTTCTCAGCCTTGTACTCCTTTGTCCCTTCCTGGGTTATCCACAATATGTACGTATATTTTTTCTTCTGCTGGTTGCATTGCATTGTGTGTGTGTGTGTGTTTGTGGGGTGGTGGTGGTGGTTATATGTCTTTTCTGACACCTACCCCCATCCTTTGGAAACTTATTCTTCATGTGCTCCCGCTACCCATCATGTATGGACTGTGCACTTGTCTCTATACTTTAGATCTTTATTTCAAAAAGTTTTAGATTCATGGATATCTTTATCATGATTTTTGTCTGCTCTGTAGAAACAGTATAAAATTTGTTTTTCTTCTTTCCTCTCCTTTCCCCTTGGAAATACCTCTTTAGAAAGATAATGTCATTTCTTTTTTTAAAAAAGAGTACTTATTTTTGGATCTTGCAATAGTTCTATACAGAGGATGGCTTGTGGAAAGTACCAGGGTAGAATTCAGAGTAGCAGGACATTTCTGGTTTGAAATCAAGTCTTGTGGGGTTCTCTGCGTGTGCGTGTGCATGTCCTTTTTATCTCCTCTCAGCACAGGGCATGAGCGCTAGCACTGATCGTAATTCCAGTTGCCTCCTATTCCGACAACTGGCTGTCTCTTCTCTGTGAGAACCGACTGTGCGTCTCCTCAGTGCTTGTCCCTGCTACTCCTGGGGGCCAAACAAAGTCAAGTGAAAATCCCATTACCAAGCTGGGAACTCACTTCCTGTCATTCCAAATAAAGGATTATCAGTTTTGATCTTCATGATCAGAATCTAGTGGGAAAAAACTGGTTATGTTTGTCCATGTTTGAAAACTTCAGTTGGCTTCTCTTAGAATCTTCCTTCACTGCTCTGAACCCTACATTTAAAAAAGTTTTTTTTACTTTACCAGATTTGATAGCTCTTTGTCATCTGTTATAGTTGTGGATACAGATGCCCCAATTTTGCTGAAGATGGTGTTTGGATTTTTAGATATTACTGCATTCTTATTCCTTGGGTAGTGATTTTTAAGCAGCAAAAGGGAATAATGAGCAGTGGCATGCCATCTTGTTAGATTTTGAAACCATCCTTGTTAAGTGTACTCCATGTAATAATTTAGTCACACAGCTATACTCACTGCATAGTATAAAATAGAACTTCATTCTAATCATACATAGTGACTTCTCTTTATCATAGATATCACCATGGATGGGTGCTGTCCATCATCCACAAAAGAAGTTTACATTTTTTTTTAAGGAAAACTTCTAGCTGTACCTCTGAATACAAGCCGGGCAATGAGAATTGAATTGTATTTACCTATGAGAATAACTGACGCTCTCCTCAGGTACACTTGGGAGTTCCTCAGGAACCCCAAGGCGTCAGAGAGCAGCTCCACAATGTATCTCCCGTGAGAAATAAACTGAGGATAGAAAGCAGGGGAAAACACTCAGTTATTGAAAAAGTACATATGCTCCCTTTCAGCCAGGCTTCCAGAGAAAAGAAACTGGTTGCTTATATCAAATAAGGTCCAGCTTAAAACTTGGGATCTCTGTGTATGAACTTGACTCTTCTGTTTGCCAGTGTTCTTCCGTCTATGATAGGATTCCCAGCCCAGCTTTGTCTTCCCACTTCCGGTTAGCGTTTTTCCACCTGTCACTGCAGTTTGTGCCAGGGTTCAGAGGGCCCGTTCATTAGGCAATGACCAGGTAATTCCGAATTTCTTTCGTGAAATGCTGTTCCTGCCTTCCTATCCATCTAAAGCTCCATGGGGGTGGATCGGAGGAAGGTTAGCTAGACGGTCATGTCGAGGAACAGGAAGGGGAAAATGATCATTTTCTCTGGTTTTCAGCCCTGGCTGTTCTCACCCATTCGTTTATTATTATTATTTTTACCTTTCTTCTCAAAGATTCACCCTGTTCCCACCACCCTTCCCATCATTCAGGAGGTCCTTTAATGTTCTTTGGATAACGTTTGGTAGGAAACCCTAAAGGGCCACTTACAAGATTGTTGCAGATGCTGAGCACAACCAGCTCAAAACTGTAGCACCGGTCCAGGAGCAGATTCGATGTTGACCAGCGCAACTCTGAGACGCAGATTGCCAATGTGTGTTTACATGCCTGCCGAAGCAGAGAACAGCCAGTGAGGGTTTCTTTGTCTGGTGTCACGTAAAACATGGCGGTCTCTGCCAAACTAAGAAAAGCAAGATGGCAGGACTTACTGTAATGACTCGTGTCTCTGTATCCTCCAGAAACAGGATCAGAGGCACCAAGGCCCTGAACACCGCGTTGTTCAACGTCCACCTGTACTGACTCATGTCCCTGACCAGTTCGCCAAAGTGTCGGATGGCCATGCTCCGAATACCTCCGTTGCTCTGGAATTTGTGCATAGAAAAGCCTCATTTGAGGATAATTCTGGGGCTTCTTCTTTTTTTAAAAAAAATAACACATATTTTAAAAATATTTTATTTATTTATTTATTTTTAGAGAGAAGGGAAAGGAGAGAGAAAGACAGGGAGAGAAACATCAATGTGTGGTTGCCTCTCGCACACCTGCTATAGCGGGCCTGGCCCTCTACCCAATTCCCAGGCATGTGCCCTGACTGGGAATTGAACCAGCAACCCTTTGCCTCGCAGGCCAACACCCAATCCACTGAGCCACACCAGCCAGGGCAAGGGCTTCTTTCTTTAAACAGTGTGATATATATGTTTATGTATATTTATACCTTTATACATGCTACAAAGTATATATTATGTATACATACATATATAAGAAATTATTTTATTTTTAGAAAAGCTTCACCTTGGGTCTAAGTAGTCAGCTCTTGGTTTTAAATAAGATTTGCATACCAAAATTCAGATTGCATAAAAAAATGCCTTGTGAACAGTAAGTTTCTTAAATTTAGGAAGGCAGTCTTTAATAATGTCTTCAAAACAGAAATCTATCTAACTTGGGGGTAATGTCTACGAAGGACTCAGAATAACTGAGCGATAGTCAAACGCCGGAGGCCCTTGCCGTGCCGCGGCGCACACCGGTGGGAGCGCGGGGCACCTACACACATTCAGGTTCCCAGGGCCTGCGCAGGCCAGCTGCGGAGAGGCGATCGGGTCACAAAGATTCCAGGAGAGGAAACTTGCAAGTCAGGGGACGAGGTTAACTTTTGAAAACTATAACATTACCTTCCAGTTTTTAAGAAATGTTTATGATTTCATTTTATATCTCTTCCTTTCTGTTCTCAGGAACTTATCAGATATGTTCCCAATGAAAGACAAATGGCTAATGTGGTTTCATATGTTCCTTCCGAGGGGGCACTAATGGGTATCAAAGTCCAACCCTGCAGGAGCGGTAATTAAATCATAATTCACAGGGGCTGGACAGGGATGCAATAGAACACAGTGGGTGACCTTGAAGGAGCGCAGGGAGAGGATGGAGACGGAGACAGGAGAGAGCCCTGGCCTCCCTCAGAGAGGACACCCAGGTCCCGCAGGCTGTTGCCAGGTGGGTTGTAGGGTTCAATGTTCCCAGATCTTCTGCCGTTTCCTTCACAAGTCAGATGTTTGCGAACAATTCTTCAGTGTACGAATATCAGCCACACTCTGTTTGAGGACTGAACTTGACACACCTGCTGGTTGCATTCACCCGTGGGCCACCTGTTTGCGTCCTCAGACTACAGGAAGGCATGCGGACCCTAGAAAGGCTGTGTGTATAGACCAGTGGGAAGAGCTTTGGAGGGCCCGGGTACCCGTTGAAATACCAGTTTTGTCCCCCGTAGGTTGAGTGAGCTTGATCATGGTGATTTTTTTTTACTTTTAATATGGAAAGGCACAGTATCATAGATTCATTGATATTCTGATATTTTTCAAATTCTCTGCCTTCAAGGAATGACTTAGGGTAAATTGATACCTGACAACTTTCTGTTCTCTTTAATTTTCCTTCTTTTTTGGCTTGATAATTTATTTAGTTTTTCCTTCAAGTGATTTCACTTTGAAAATAATATTTTACATATTTACATGAGATAATACATGTAAATTCCTTAGAATTATACCTGGCACATAGTAAATGCTCAATAAATCTTAGCCACTATTATTATCATTTTTAAAAAATAACTAAATCCTTTCTTTCTATAGTTTAATAATATTGTGTTCTTCACTGAAATCTGAGTAATGAAGAACTTACAAATTTTTGCAAGATAATTTTCTATGAAATAATTCCCTGGTTCACAAACGACTCATTATAATTATAAAAATCTTTAAAAAATAGATTGCCCATGGCATACCAAACTATTCTTGTTTATTAAAATAAATTACTGTCATCCAACTTGCCTGGAACACATTTACCATACAAAATGAGAATTTTTAAAAAGGCAACTTTCTGATAAGATACTTTTTAGTTAAAAGTTTTATGTGATGGTAACGAACCCACATGGGGTGTTACACATTGCCTCTAGTCCCCACCAGACACTGGCAGCCCTCCGTATTTTACAGGTGAGAGACTAAAACACCTGCTTGAGACTTCACAGCTAATAAGAGGCAGAACAGGATTTGAACCCAGGAAGTCTGGACTCGAGGATAACCAGTATATGACCACTGAGTGACAATTTCTCTCTCATCCAAGGACAGAAGCTGTTCCTTGATTCTGCTTTCTTATGGGGAGACTTTTCCAGGCTCTCGCAGCACTTCCTGACGAATGTTACCTCGAAAAGAAATGGTGGCTCTGCACAAAGTGACTGTCTTCTGGTCACTTATTCTGGGCTGTACTGTCATTGCCAGAGTTGGGGCTTCAGCTCACCTGTCACACCTACTGATCCCACATGCCCAGCCGTGCCACTCACATGGTCCATCAGCGGACAGTAGCTGGAAGCAATTTGGGTGCACAGAGAGGAGTAGGTCACCTTGTCCAGTTTGTTTAAGAGTCTCCGAAGGGTGAGCAGGGCCCGGATGATAACAGTCTGGTCTTTGGAAAGGAAGGCGTCCAGGATGGATAACAGTAGGCTGCAGACATTTCCTACCTGCAATGAAAGGGGGGAGATGGTGGGATTTGGGAAGGAGAAGGAGACTCGCGCGAGCGTTTGGCACACACACCTCTGATTTGGGCAGCATGTGGTGGTGTGCTGGGGTTGGCTGGCAGGGGGCGAGGGTGAAGATTTGGTAGGCTGATTTTTAGATAAAAGTTGCTACTCAAAAGTTAAATTTTATAAATTTAGAAATAAATAAAAGAATAGCTATGTCCTGGCTGGTGTGGCTCAGTGGACTGAGTGCCAGCCTGAGAACCAAAGGGTCACTGGTTCAATTCCCAGTCTAGGGCACATGCCTGGGTTGCAGGCCAGGTTCCCAGTGCAGGGTGCTCAAGAGGCAACCACTATTGCTGTTTCTCTCCCTCTCTTTCTTCTTCCCCTCCCCTCTCTAAAAATAAATAAAATCTTTTATTAAAAAAAACCAATAGCTATAAATACTCAAAATGTATCACCTCCTATTTACTTTGCTACATTTTCTCTTATACTCCCTTGAGTTTATTTATGTGCATTATGTCTGCATGGTGAGCTGAAGTGTACTTATTCCCACTTCCATCTTTAATGATGTCCCTTTTACAGCTTGAAGTCAGCTGTGGTGGGAGTATTCACGCCCAGGAAATTGGTCTGATTTCTAGGGAGTTGACTATTACACGTGTACTAGCACACTGCTGGCAGCGTGCACTCTGAGCTAGGGGACAGTGGTCACCTGTTTGGACGTGAGAACTGCTCAGGTACTGAGCCGGGTCATGGGAGTCAGCTGTAGATCAGAGACAAACAGAATTTACGGTAAGGAAAAACATGAACAGGAGACACCGAAGGAGGGAAAGGAGGACTGCACAGAAAGTAAAAGAAATAAATACTATTTGCTAAAATAACAGCCAGAGGCCGCTGATATCTGGCAGGGAAGTTGAGTCTTTACCCATAGACAGTATGTGCAGCCTCAGTCCAGTAATTCTGTCTCTCTGTCCTACATAACCTTGACCCAGAATGTCCCTTCAGTGTTTAATAACACTGGGGAGAATGCTAGACAAGGCAATAAGTAACTTTCCATTTACGAAAAGAATGTATGTCGACTTGCATGATTTATTTGAAGCAAATAGACCATGGCTCATTTCATTCTAAATGCAAAATGGGTGCCCCCTGCCTGGCTTTCAGTTGTCAGAAATTATGCTTAATAGATAAACAAGGATTTGTTATTAATATATTATTAAATCAACAATGATTGATAGGACAGCTCACTCTCAGCACTGCACCAAGCACTTTGAAATGTACAAGGCAATTATGGAACATAAAAGTGCACTTAGGTTCAGTGCTCCTAGAGGTTAAGACAGAGCAATGCGGCATGGCAGGAACCAATATAAGACAGAGATTCTAAAGTTTAACTTGTGTTAGAACCCCTGGGAGGACTTTTGAAAACACAGCCCCACCCCCGGGGTTCCTGATTCCACAGGCCTGAAATAGAGCCTGACAATTTGTGTTTCTTACCAGTTTCCAGGAGATACTGGTGCAGCTGTTCAGAGTTACGTGTGGAGCAGCACTGGTGTGAAGTACTACGTAAGAGAGTGCCCAGAGCTGGTGTGGCCCTGAGAGGGACGAGGCTGCTCGAGATCTGAGGGGTCGGTGGGAGTCGACTTGAGCTGATCTTTGAACAAGGAGAGAAATGTGACTGTGTATGGGTGAGGGAGGAAAGTGTTGTGAGTGGGAAGAGAAGCTGGCACGAGTACTCAGAGATGGTCACTAACATGCGTGCACATGTGTGTGTTGGATGGGAAATCAACATGTGTGGTTAGACTGTAAGAAGAGTGTTTGTGTAGGGCGATGCTGATACATTCTGCATGCCACAAATGATTTTCTGGGAAAAATGTAAACTAGATGATTAAGTGACTGAATTGACTTAACACATTTCTTCCAGTCAACCCCCATCCCTTGTTGATAAAACCTCAGCAAGGCTATTGAGCAACATCAAGTCTGAGACAGTGACGTGGAAGGTGATGGCAGACACAGGCCACACACCCACGCACCTGGTTGATGACTGGTGCCATGCTGGCGATCTTCTGCAGGCTCAGTTTGCTCACTGCGGGGTTGGAGTCGTTGATCCATTTTCTGAAGAGAACCAGAAACTCTTCTGGGAATGGGTCCTTGAAGAATTTATTCAGAAGCTGAAAGAAAACAGCTAGTATGTTTTCAGAGTAAAGGCCAATGCACAGTCTCTACTACAGGCATAAAAATGAAGACATTGCCAGTGAAACTGGAACTCAGGACACACTACAGCTGCCAGCGCTTCAGCATGTTCCCACGTGTGTCCTGTGCGCATGTCACCACACAGCAAATGGTACAGGCACATTTTCCTTTACTGATTAGTTGCTGATCTGCGGGGTGATAATTTGGTACCACGTGGGTATTGTGTTCTTCAGCAGCCTTTCACTTAATGGTTTTAAAACCATTAATGATTTTTCTTCATTCATTTATTACATTGGGACTTGCAAAACGGTGGTTTTTTTTTCTTCTTCTTCTAGCCTTCTTGTTACATTTACTGGCTGGCATCCCTTTATTTCTCTTCCAGCTTTCCAGTTTTGATTAGTGACAAGGACTTATGCATTAAATTTTTTCAACATGTTACAATTATTTGATGTTATTATTTCTTTTGATGCTCAAACTTGGCCGGTAGGAGCCCCCGCAAGCCAACATGTGTGTCCTTTTGACGTGGTGCATCTGCCTTTGGGCACTTCTTTGCTTGTGGAACAGTTAGATGTCCCAGGCTCATCTTAGGTTTCCCTTGCCCCTGCAATTATTCATTTCTTTACAGGGACATGTTTCTTTTTAGTGAATAATGGTATTGAGAAACTATTAGAAGTGGGTGCCAGAGTGTACTCATTGTTATTGGCATATCATGTCTTCTGGGCCCTTACTTGAGCTAGGAGATACTTTTTTTTTTTTTAGTCATAAGTTCACTTTGACAATGTTGATATATTCAATTCAAATATAATGTAACACAGTTAACTTCTTACAGGTTTATATTGCTTCATCTTTCTTTTACCTGGACACCTCTGGTGCCTAATAACATTCATTTATGTACATATTGACTTTCTGCTTTGTAATGCATGCCTCAGTTTTAAAATTACAATCTCAACACACAATTATTAATAGGACTCCTGAGTAAAAGTGAGTATTTCAAAATAGATTTTTGTCCTTAAAAAGTATCTCACTAAGGATGCATAGTCAAAGCACTGGGTTCCTCAGTTAACTTGATATACTTCAAAAATATGCATTGAGAAGGAGAAAAAAAAGAGAATATAATTTATTGGGAAAAACACTAAGATCATAATAGTACTAAATGGGCAAAGGAGAGATCAAATTATTCACCAAATGGAACTTTAGTGAGGGACGAGGTGAAGGCATGTGATTGAGGAATATAAACATAATGACTTAGAGAAAGGAACAATATTATTCTCATTTTTCACACTTTAGGGTCATACAGCTAGAAAACCCAAGAGAATCAACTAAAATAATGTTAGAATTTATATAAGAGCACAGGAAGCTAGCTGAATTCAAGATAATAGCTTAATTTGCCTGAACATTCAGCAACCATAAACTTGAACATCTGAATGTAAAGACCACAGTCACACTAACCATTTGAAATATTAGTTACTTAGTAGTTCCAAAATTAATATGTAAAATGTATATGGAAATGACAAAATATTGAGTAAAAATAAAAATGAAAATATAAACATATCAAATAGTCCTAAGAAACTCATAGCATTAATTTAATTAAAGTAATAATTTCAGTAAAAGCTTTTTTCCCTTTAAACCTGGCAAAGTTCTTTTAAACTTTAATTAGAAGAATAAACATATAGGAAGAAAAGAAATTTTGAAGAGTTGACTACTTCCAGCCAAGATGGAGGTGTATATAGACACATTGTGCCTCCTCGCACAACCAAAAGAAGGACAACAATGATTTAAAAACAAAAACAACCAAAACTGACAGAAAATCGAACTGTATGGAAGTTGGACAACCAAGGAGTTAAAGAAGACACATTCACCCAGACCGGTAGGAGGGGGCAGCTGGGGTGGAGAGGGCTTGCAGCAAAGCGGCGGCTGGTGGACCCAGCGAGGTGGCGGATTGTGGAGTAGGGTACAGCATGCAAGACGACGGCAAACCGGGTGATCCCACTTTCGTGCGCAGATAAACCAGGCTAAACTGGGGAGCGGGACGGACCGCATAACCCAGGGCCCCAGCGGGGAAATAAAGCCTTAAAACAACAATTGAAAACACCTGTGGGGGTTGAGGCGGTGGCGGGAGAAATTCCCAGCCTCACAGGAGAGTTCCTTGGAGAGACCCACAGGGTCCTAGAACGTGCATAAACCCACCCACACAGGAATCAGCACCAGAAGGGCCCACTTTGCTTGTGGGAAGCAGGGGAAGTGACTGAAATCTGGCAGAGAGCGGAGCAAGTGCCATTGTTCCCTCTTGGACCCCTTCCCCACGTACTGTGTCACAACCCAACAACTGGGTTGCCCCGCCCTGGGGAATACCTAAGGCTCCGCCTCTCACTGCATAACAGGTATGTCAAGACAAAAAATGGCCCAAACAAAAGAACAGATCAAAACTCCAGAAAAAATACAACTAAGTGACAAAGAGATAACCAACCTATCAGATGCACAGTTCAAAACACCGGTGATCAGGATGCTCACAGAATTGGTTGAACTTGCTCACAAATTAGATGAAAAAATGAAGGCCATGCTAAGTGAAATAAAGGAAAATGTACAGGGAACCAGTAGTGATGGGAAGGAAACTGGGACTCACATCAATGGTGTGGACCAGAAGGAAGAAAGAAACATCCAACCAGAACACGATGAAGAAACAAGAATTCAAAAAAATGAGGAGAGGCTTAGAAACCTCCAGGACATCTTTAAATGTTCCAACATCCGAATTATAGGAGTACCAGAAGGAGAAGAGGAAGAGCAACAAGTGGAAAAGTTATTTGAACAAATAATAAAGGAGAACTTCCCCAATCTGGCAAAGGAAATAGATTTCCAGGAAGTCCAGGAAGCTCAGAGAATCCCAAAGAAGTTGAACCCAAGGAGGGACACATTGAGCCACATCATAATTACATTAACCAAGGTAAAGATGAAGGAGAGAATCCTAGAAGCAGCAAGAGACAAGGAGACAGTTACCTACAAAGGAATTCCCATCAGACTGTCAGATGATTTCTCAAAAGAGACCTTGCAGGCAAGAAGGGGCTGGGAAGAAGTATTCCAAGTCATGAAAGGCAAGGACCTCCATCCCAGATTGCTCTATCCAGCAAAGCTTTCATTTAGCATGGAAGGGCAGATAAAGTGCTTCTCAGATAAGGTCAAGTTAAAGGAGTTCATCATCACCAAGCCCTTATTATATGAAATGTTAAAGGGATTTATCTAAGAAAAAGAAGATAAAAAACATGTATAGTAAAATGACAGCAAACTCACAATTATTAACAACCACACCCAAAACAAAAACGAAAACAAAAACAAACTAAGCAAACAACTAGAATAGGAACAGAACCACAGAAATGGAGATCACATGGAGGGTTATCAGCAGGGGAATGGGAGGAGGAGAGAGGGGAAAAAGGTACAGAGAATAAGCAGCATAGATGGTAGGTAGAAAATAGGGGGAGGGTAATAATAGTGTGGGAAATGTGGAAGCTAAAGAACTTAAAAGTATGACACATGGACGTGAACTAAAGGGGGGGAATGTGGATGGAAGAGGGTGTACAGGGTGGAGGGGAGTGAAGGGGGGTAATGGGACAACTGTAATAGCATAATCAATAAAATATATTTAACAAAGAAAAAGAAAAGAGTTGAGAAGTTTCTTTGCTAGACATTAAATATATTTGCAAATGGCCATATTTCAACAGTGTGGTGCTTCCCACAAGATTGAAAATTAAATGGAACCTAACAATTAACCTGAGACAGACCCTGATGTGTGTGTATGTGTATGAAGATAATAATAAGATTAATAAAGGTAGTATCACCAGTGAGTAGTGAACTTTATGCTTATTAATTAAATGATGCTTGCTTAGGTAGTTAATTATTTAGTAAAAACTAAAGTTATATCAAAAAGGGTTTCCTCAATTTGCTTGACTCTAGTATGGCATTACAATAGATGATGTAATATTCATATACAAAGTGATGGAATTCTAGTCTTTATTTCACCCAGTTATTTGGCCCATTCCTTCCTTTTTTTCCCCCAGATAGCCTGAAGTATCATTTAGATCCCAGATGCTACCTACTATCTTTAGTAAATTCGATTATCCCTCGATATATTTGAACAAGCATGCGGAGATATATGAACTGGTATTTCAAAAGTAACTGGTGTGATGAAAGCCAATTCCAGGAAAGGCTGAGGGTTTGACCGTCCATAACCCACCTCTATCTCCACCCTACCCCTCAACCTCAGAAATCTGTTGTTGTTTTAACTTGCGGTGAAATAAACATTCAGAGAGCGAAGTACAAGGTCGGAATGTTGGGTACCTTTGAGTAAGAAAAGGAAGTGAGAACTCGGCTGTTCACAGACTCCTAATAAAACTCACTTCAGTGAGGAAGATGACTGTGATCACACTGTCCTCTGACCTTCTAGGACCTTCCACTGAGAGCTTGTAGAGATAGTGCAGGGTCTCTGGAAACTGTGGAAAGTTATGTTCACCAAGGGTTCTGGAAAGGAGGAGAAGGCGCTGAATTAGCAGAGAAGATGAGAATGCTTTCTGTGTCAACAAATTCTAATGCTAGTAAAGAGAGAATTAATATCCTTATATTTTGTACCACCCAGATACCAAGAAAGACATTCTCTAATATTCCCTAATCCACCGCAAATGGCAGCCCCAGTACACATTCTACACAGGCTGTGGGGAAATGTATGGGGGACCCCCAAAATGGAATTTATTTATAAAAATTGTGTATTCTTACACGTTTACACTTTAGTCACCTTCAAAGTACTGTCCATTTGATGCAATACACCTATTGAGATGATTTTTCCCCTGCTCAGAACAGTTTTTGAACTTGTCAATTGTGATGACTTTTCATGTTTCACCTCTCCCACATGGGCAAAATGTTTCCCTTTAAGAACTTTTTCACCAAGGAAAAAAGAAAAAGTCACTCGGGGAGAGATTGGGTGAACAGGGAGAGTGGGGCACGGGGGTTATACCGTTTTGGGTCAAAAACTGCTGAACACGCAGCGTGGTGAGAACAGGTGCACTTATAAACCACCCATCACTAAATGGGCAAATGCGTTGAAAGAGCCTTCCAAAAAAAATTTCACTGAAGCCAAACGCAGCCTCTCACAACAACATCAGCTGGTTCACTGATCCAGATGGGCTCCTAGAACACTCACCTAGTGGGGAAGCCTGGACTGCAAAGGGCCTGCTCTCCAGATGATAATTCTGGTTTTTTTGGATCCCCCTTGTATACACCGGGGTGACTGACATCTTTTAATGTCACTGCTCTTTCCTGTCTCCCGTCCTGTGCCACAGAACAGATGCCCTGTATTACTGCAACCTCAGTGCCAGACCAAAGGGACAGAAAATAAGTGTCTTGGCAATTCCAGATGGCACAGGTCACCTCTGCTGTAGTTGACCAAGTCCTTCCTTTAAATGACATAAGGAAGGAGAGAGTTTGGTGCTATCCTTTACTCTGGAGAACAGGTGGTGAGCCCTGATTCACCAAGCCATTCTCCCTCCGTAAGCCACCCAGGTACTGGCCAGGCTCACAGCTGTCCTCACATTCCTGGATCAGATCGGCAGTGGCAGGATTGGGAAGGAGGATGTGGCACGGATTCCATTGGAAGACCCCAGGTTGGTGCTCTGAACCAGTGTTTCTGGAGTTTTTATGTGTGTACCGATCACCCAGGGAATCTTGCTGAAATGCAGATTCCGACTCAGTAGGTCTGCCTGGGCCACGAGATTCTGTATTTTGAATTCTTGGGTGTTGCTGTAGCTGCTGGTTTGTGGACCGCACTTTGAGTATGAAGATCCAAATTACTAAGGATAGAGTGACTTCACTGGGGGCCATTGGAGGGTGCAGGTGAACTGCACTTTCACAAAACAAGATGTGTTCCTGAAATCTACATGCAAATAAGATGCTGTTTTCAAAGCACCGGGAGCCCAGAGCCGGTTTGGACCGGACTTTCTGGGTCAGTCACGGCTTCACATGGTCTGTCGAGTTATCAAGAGCCCTCATCTTGATTCTTGATCAGCAAATCTGATCCCTAGAATTAGAAGCTTGCTATGTACAGGCTAACCAGGGGGAAGAAATTGTTGGAGGACAAGAAAAACAGAAGTCCTCTTTCATTATCCTTTCCGAATGTATTTGTCTGTTGCCACAGCAAACCATGGAGGAAAGAAAAATCAGATTCCACTCTAGTTGTCTGTATCAGGAGGAGGAACCTGTCCCATGGAGAGGTATAGGGGGGCTAGGCATCTGTCCCACCAGGCACGTGGGCCAGGAAAGGGAAGATGGTTCCAAAGTACACATCCCTCAAAATCAGCGAGGAAGTGGGAGTCACATGGCAATACAGGTCATGGGGGAAGGGCTTGGGAAGTCCTAGTGGGTGTGGGCTGTGCTCCCACGTGGCTTCACTGAAGAAAGACGGGGAAGGTAGGGACAGAGACTGAGATCCCATGCAGACAGAGCCCATTCTTACGTGGCAATGAGGTAGACCCCGTGGTGGTGAAACAGCACTTGGGAGATCTGGTCCCAGAAATTCTTTCTGTTCAGATCAGTGTCCACCTCTTGCAGCCCGGAGCAGTGCAGCAGAACTCTCAGGGCGTCCCGGGCAAAGCTAGGGCCCAGAGGAGAACAGTCACAGCCTGACTGTGGCCTTCACATAACTGTGCATATGGGACCTGCCCTTCCTTCCCGTCCTGCACAGGGTGCTGGTATGAGGAAAGGGGGTATTGGAGAGGAAGGAGACTGTTAAATGGTCTCCTCTCTCCTGAGTAATGGTACCTGGGGTACAGGCTACAGCTGGGGCTGCAACATATACAGCCTAGGATTGACCCTGGGCCAGCTTATTCGTTTATTCACTTCTTAACAGCTATTAGCAAAAAGTGTTAAATGATGTGATAACTTGCTTCAGGTGCCAATTTGCTTCCTGGGATGCTTTAAGTCAATAGCACGTATTCTCATTTACTTGGTATGTCTGCATGAAAGACCACGAGCTGATAAAATACTTGAATGGGACTGACTGTGCTTTTGAGTCCCACCTGGCCTAGGAGCTGGGTGAGGGCAAGCAGCAGACAGATGGGTGCAGATTTTCCCAGACAGCAGCAGCGCTAACTGTGGTCTCCTGGGTGAAAGGGAAGAGCTGAAACTCACCTGATGTGGGCAGAATGAACGCCTGGTATCACAAGCCCTCATGCCCCAGAGCACTGTGGGGCACGTTCTCTAACCTTATAGAGAGACCTGGTGGAGAGGACAGGGCCCAGTGAGAGCACTGGGTCTCCTGTTGCTCCCTGTGCAAGCTCCCTGCAGACGTCTCCTGCAGCAGCCTCTCCTCGTGGTGGGTCCAAGCTCTGCTCTGTGGGGTGGCCCTGTCTACACAGCACCCACACTCAGCAAAAGTCCTGGCTGACTTCTAGGTACCCAGGGTAGTTATTATGTGGAAGGCATTCCGCCCTTTCAAGGAGGGAAAACGGTCATAAGTGAATGCACTGCCCAGGGAATTATCAACTCTCCGCTTCAACCCGAGGGCTAGAAGCAGCAGCTCACAAAAGTTTGTTCTCTATCACCAGCGTCATGTTGCAGGTGTAGAAGACCTGGAACAGGAGGGCCATCAAGAGTTGAGGGAAGAACTGGGCCACCGCCTTCTTGTAGGAAGGGACAGGCAGCAGTGTGCACAGGGCCTGGGATGCCTGCAAGGGAAGGGAAGAGAGTCAAGGCTGTCCTGTGTCCCTCTGAGTCCTGTCAGCCCCAGTGAGGGGGCGGGAGGCTCTGTGCCCCACCCCCACCTCCCCCAAGAAAGCCTGGAGCCTGTGTGTGCGTTCCTTCTTCCAACAGCAGCCACTAAGTCTGTGTGAGCCAGGAACATGCCAAGCAGTCCATGGCCATGAGCTCCCAAAGCACCATCCGCAGTGCACGCGCCACCCCCTGTGCTGCCAGGCCAGCAGGAAACAAGCTCCTCCCCAAGGGGGGCATGCATCCCGGACCCCCTTCATCTGTCACCACGAAGGTTATTCTACGCGTTGCCAGGCCCTCCCGTGCTTCCACAATCCAGGGCAGTGAGACAGGAAGGGAGGCGGGCCGTGTCCCTAACACGTCCTTGGGCCCACTGACCGTCCGTCCACACCAGAGAGACTCATGTCCCCACCTCACGTTTGTGGAGCACTCTCCATTTTTCCCTATATCTCTGTCAGATTTGAATTTACCCCAGGAATGGCAGTGTCGGTCCTCAGGAGATAGATTGTGATGTACACATGTGAGATTAGGCCTTCGCCTGCCTGTAAGAGCAAGTACGCTTGGCCGGTGGCTGCCTGTCTGATACCATCTCCTGCATGGTCACCCTTGCTCAGTCCTGTTCTGACCGTCCTCGCATTCAGTGATGTGCCAGGCGAGTGCCCGTCACCGCAGGGCTTTCGCCCTTTTCTGTCGGGAACCCTGTTGCGCAGACACCTGCGAGCATCACTCCCTCAGCTTTTTGAGGCCTCGGATTAGATGTCATCTCAGCAGAGTGGCCCACTGTGACTGACTGCCCCAAACCCTCCCATCCCTTTCTCTTTGTCCCAGTACTTTGTGTCTCTTCTAAGCTTGCTGTCATCTGACACGTGACACATGTTTTAGGTTCATCGTCTGTGTCTGTCACCAGAATGTAGGCTTCACGAGCAGGGAGTGGCACAGGGTAGGCACTCAGTAAGTATGTGCCGGACGAGGGAATGAAGGAATGGACGGACGCGTGCAGGAGAGCTGGGCCGTGGAAGGAAGGAAGGAAGACCCAGCTGGAGGGCAGAGAGGAATTTTCACGGGCAGGGAACGCCACCCGGAGACAGAAACTTGCGTCGGGTGACTCACCGCCATGGGCATCATGTTTGTGGTGTCGAGAGAGAAACGTCTTCTGTCTGCCAGGCTCTCCTGCATTTCCCCGGGCTTTCCTCGCAGTATCAGCAAGATGGTCGTCAGCACAGGGAGGGCCACGCTGGCCTCGGAGCCGGCCGCCTGCCACATCAGGGCCAAAGTGCTGCAACACAGCCCGCCGCAGCGGGGGTCTTAAATGTTGTTCAGCACAAGAACCGGTCAGTGTTCTGCCCCACCATGCCCTCTTCCTCCCACCTCATGACCCAGCTTGTTCAGGGATGATAGAATATTTAAAAACTGATATAACAATAACATTGGCATCAATAAATGTACCACTTGAAAAAAAGGATAGGTAAAAAGTACACAAAAAAAACTAACTATATGAAGGGTTAGAAAATTAAATGTGAAGTTTAATGATTAAAAGGAAATGAGTGGCTCAGAGGAGTGCCACACATTTAGTTAGTGACATGGGTGTGCCTAGAGCCCTGGCTCCTCAGCCTCCAGGCCCCAGCTCCTTCCCCTGCATACCCAGCTGCTCTTCAAGGTTACTCTTCCTGTGGCTCCTTTTAAAAGCTGCTACATTCCTCCATGCTAACGTATTCCTGCTTCCTTGTCAATCCATGCTGGCTTCCAAGCCCTACTGCTCGGCCTCTCTGCCTTTACGTTCTTGTATGAGGGCCTGGTCCCCGAGCACGTGAACAGGCCCGGTTCTCTGGAACCTGTTACTCAACTGCCCCTGCCTCTTAGAAGCGTGCTTGAAGCCACATGGACACAGAATCTCACATGCCGTCTCATTCCTGCATCTCTTGGTCATGCCTCTGGCTGACCAGGGCTTCCTTCTGTTTTTCCAACTTAGCCTGTCTCCTAACCCTCCTCTTTTCTACCTTACCTACTCTTGCACAAGACCTGCTCGGGACTATTTTAGGTAAACTCACCCGAGTCTAACCTTCTTGCTTTCTGTACCTCCTCAATACATGCTGTTTGTATTGGATTCACTGCTAACTATTACCTCACAGCCATGTGGGGTCGTTCCCTCCACTTAACAGAATACTGGAAGGGTGGTGATATTCTACACACAGTGGGTGCTTAGTTCCTGAATGAAAAACAGTTGAGTCTTATGAAGAATTTTAGTTTTTAGGAACTTTCTCTATTTTCTTTGTGAGGTTAAGCTTCCTGAATAAATACAGTCTTTCCATTGGAAAAAGAAAGTCCGTCATAGAATTGGTTTAGCATTTTGTTGATTTTGATGCCCTGCCCCAGATGTTAACTTGGTGGCCCCCTTAACAGCTTTATACATAAAATGAGCTGCTTTCAGTTCACAGCAAGGAAGTCGAGGATCAAGGAGTTTATGAAACTTGTGTAGCTGGGATAGGATTCAGATTCCTTTGTTTCCAAAGCCCAGGGCTATTCTAAATATAATATCACCTTCTGCCTTTTATACTATGAATAGTTGAGAAGTAATACCTTCCTCTCCAATGCACAAACTGTAGAAACAGAGTGATGTAATTCCTAATCTCTTCCCATGTGCCTATTAGGTTCACCGCCCCATAGGCTCACATTAGCCCTATTTTCTTCTTAAATATTTCTGATGATCCTGGATCATGAAATACAGATAAACAGCTAAGGGGTAGGGGATTCCCAATTACATCTGGGAATGTTTAATGTTTCATTATTTTATTGGTGGATGGAAATATCTGAATGTCTGTCTTTCATAAAGGAGAAAAGAACACTATGAATCTCATCCCATGTGGAGAAAAACTCATTATCACTTTGAGGGGAGGTGTGTTTCTATTAGACATGCAGAGGACTCAGCGAAATGATACAGTGATCATTTCTTGATGGGCTGCTGTGAGCCAGGTATCGTACAAGTGTATGAATGACCTGTGTGATATTGTTATTTAAGGCTTTCAGTCATCCGATGTGATGCAGAAGTAGATACTCCCTTTCCAAAAAAAAAGGAAACCAGAACTGGCATGTCCAGGTCTGTCTGGCTCTGGGCACTGTGTATGACCCCTTGGGGAGGGGCGAGGGGGCCTTACTTGTCTGCGGGGACTGGGTAGTCCATCAGCTGAAAGATGACTTTTTTCGGGGAAGTACGCGTCAACAAGGTGATGACCCGCAACATGGCGTGCTTCATAACGTGGTTAGAGTTCTTACTCAGTTGTACATAAATAAGTTCCACGATCTTAGACACCTGGAGAAGGAATTCCCCAGGTCAGCCGGAGTCTCCTGGGCCCCAGTCCCTGCCAGAGCAGGGCGTTTCTTGGACTGAAGAATTTAGTCCTTCTCAGAATAACCAAGGCAGCAAGCAATTAACCCAAAAATAAAATACTAGTGGAAAGCATATTTATGTGTGTGACCACACAATGCAAAATACTTATTTGGTTGAGAAATAAACCTGTCTGTGCATTTATTGATAGTGGGAAAAGCACCCATTTCACAAGAAAAGTTTATTTTTGGGAATATACACAATATAATTGTATGAGATATATAAGTTCAATATAGAAAACCTGGTTATAATCCATACTTCTAAAGAAGAAAATCAGATTAATGGAACAGAATAACAATGGAACCATGTACTTCAAATTTTTTTTAACAATTGAAGACGACTTGACTCTACATGCTGAAGGAGTGGGCTGTGTGTTGGGGGGATGGCCCAGGACAGTGAGTACTGAGTCGTAATCTTGGAAATTCTGTTCACAGGCCCCATGTTAGTTGTATTCCCCCCACTTCAATCCGTCCTTGAATAGGGGCAGTGCTGCTAGCTGGACCCGGGAATTTGTCTCAGATCAGTGCTTGTGTGCTCAGCCTCAGATTTCATCTGCCGGTTCTGCCCAGAAGTCATCGGCTGAAAAGCTGGAGTACACTTATGTTCTGTTGCAATTGCCTCAGATACAGTTTAGTGATACACGCTCAACCCATTACTCCGAAGGGAAGAAAAACGGCCAAGTGCCAAGCCGTACGGACATCCCTCCTCCGCGTCTGCGCCAGGGTGAACGAGAAACGGGAGACCCTAAACCCCTCTTCTTCTCTGTGGGCCTGTTAGCCATCGGGTCTCGGCCTCTTTCCTCCCCTCCTCCTCTCGTGAGAGCAGTGTGTCCCCCAGAGGACGCAGCCACAGTACTGTCTGCTCTGTTGCAGAAACGACGGCCTGCTGTGACCCTCCAGGAAAGGCTCCATGTGTCGGCCTCATTTAGAGATTGTGAGGCTACATACCACGTGTGCCATTTAGGGGACTGTGGGGGGGGGGTGGTAAATTTCACCACACACAATCTTTCACTGTAACTGGCGTCTGAACCCTGTTTAAGAGAAGAGCCCACTTTACTCAGTAGTTCAGTGGTGTGTGGGAGCTGGGCTGGGGCGCTGGGTTGCTGACCAGCCATTGTTTTGGGGTTTTCTCTCTGTGTTTAGTGATTTTACTCTAGCATCAGCTGGTTTGGCTTCTCTTCCTCTCCGGGGACTTGGTGTGGCTTTACCCAGCCTCCCTTTCTCACTGTGCGAGGGGCGAGTTTTCTTTTGTCATGAACATGACCGCTGCCTTTCAGCTCTCCCCTGGTTCCATGCGCTGCTCTCAGGGTGCCCCCGTTGGTGGTGGTGGGGAGATCTGCAAGGAGCCCTACGCTCCCCCCGCTTTCCTGCTCTCCGCACCTGAGTCCCAGCTCTCATTTATTTTCAGTCACCTAGCACTGCAAGGTCAGGTGTGGGAACTGAAGTTGCCCCCTCCTGTCACCGCTGGGGCTGGTTTCAGGGGCGTGTGACCTGTGCGTTTGCACAGGGTCCCACCTCTGAAGGCCCCTCACTTTGTTTAAAGCTCAGCTGTTGCCTGCTCAGTAGTTTTAGCAATTTTATCTTTGAGTTTGTGTTTTGTGAGTGCACTCCCATGGGACAGTAGAGCATGTGTGCCAGCAGAGGAGATGTGTGTAATATGTGTGCAATATGTGAGTCAGGCGTGGCTCCTGTGCGCAGAATTCCAGTGGCCCCGGGACGTGTAGGTGTTCAGGGGGGACTGAAACAAGTACAAGAGGAGCACTTAGTCCTAGGAGGGGAGAGAAAGACGGGGACCCCGTACATCTTTTCCCTTTCTGTCTTCCTTCCTCCTCAACAAGCCAAGGATAAAGAATGTTCACAGAATGTGTGAATGGCAAGAAGTGAAGTAAAAACAATGGAGTTCTGTAGCACTGCCAGTCTTCCAGGAAGAATGAAAAACATGCGTGTAAGAGCTATGAATTGCATTATTTTGTTGAGTCAAATGCTCTTATATTTACAGCTGTAAGTGGAATTGTACAATAGAACAATGGGTGGTGAAATTCATACTATAATTTAAAATTTTTCACTTAGAAAGACTTTAAGTAAAAACACCACAACCAACAGAAAGAGAGAGGGGTAGAGAGACAGACGGTGGAGGAAAGGAAAGGATTCGTATGCTTGCACCTTTCTTGGCACCTCCCGCCTGCATTTGGACCGGAAGCCCCAAGTTTCACTTTGCACTGGGCCTCACAAATTAGGTGGCCCACCTACAGCAAGCTGGGGGCCCCTCAAAACTCCCCTCAATGGTTCCCAGGGTGATTCGAATGATAGCTGCACGAGTCTATTGTTACTCGCTTATTTCTTTTAGAAATTTGAAGTAAACACGGCAAGATGTTATGATGTGGATGAATCGTGGGTAAAATGTCCATTACGTTTTCTTCTAAACTTTTCTGGATGCTTGAAGTATTCCACCCCAAAAGCCTCACCTAATTAGTGACATGACGACACAGTGGCAAGGCCTATGTATGAAAAGAAGCAGATCTATGCCACTGGCCGCAGGAGCACTCGACGGGGTAATCACATGCCCCCTGGCCGGTGTCTCACCATGGTGACCTTGTGGGCGTGGTGTTCCAGGGTCAGTCTCAGCATGTTGGCCGCCTCCTTCGTCATCCCGCGGTCAGGCATAGCCAGTCTCATCAGGAGACTCCACACGAAGTCAGTCAGCAAGGACGGCAGCAACATGTGTCCTATACTCTGCAACCCAGAGAGAGAGCCGCGACCTCAGGCCCCAGTGGCACCTCCGGGGCCTCAGGCATCACGCGGAAGCCCTGGGGCGAGGGAACGCCACGTGGTTTTTGTGGGCTCTAGTCCCCTTTGCTGTCGTGGGCCTCATCCTCCATTAAAAAATGTTAAAAACTATAATTGACACTGGGTTGGTATTAAGATGACTATAATTCAAGCTAAATTATACATATCTTTTTATTTTGATTTGTAAAGCAATGAAAACATTTTCATCTGGGTAAATTACTCTGAGGGCAGGCCAAGGAGAAGTGGAAAACCATAGCATTCAAACTAAGGAACTGTAAAATATTGACTTTACCCCAGCTCAGCTACTCACATATTAGAAATCATTGCACACTCCTTCAGCTTTGGAAATGATTTTGCTCAGATCAGAAACAAGTGTAATTAGTAGAAGATACAGAAGAGGGTGGAGTGTGAAGGGGTTGGACTTCCGTCTTTCCCAGAGAGGGACTAGGAGGCAGGGAGAGGAAAACAAGGGCCCATAAGTCCATGAGTGTGGCACAAGAAACGCAATTCAAGCAATCCCTTCTTAAAGTGAGAAGAATATCCATGGACCATGGAACATAAAATGCGAACAAAGTTACATGATGTGCATTTCTCAGTTAAGAAAGATGAATGAGCCATTTTCTCTTTGTGTATTTCTTGTGTACATTCCATATATATAAAATGAAAAACATATTAAAATATAAACTATGTTGAAATATGTCATCACAAAAAAATAATATTACACATGAAACAAAAGCCACAAGATAAAACAGGGTCTAAGTTACCCGAGCAACTTCAGTTTTGTCTTCTTTCAAGACGTCGAGCAGGAATTCTATGTCACAGCAGTGAGACAGGTGACATTGACTTCCAGACTGCTCATACCTGGCTGTTGTGTTTCGCGCAATGTCCTCTGTAAGAAAGAAAAGAGTTTAAGCTTTTTTTTTGTTTGATCACTGGTTCCTTCTATGATGTTGCTATTTCCAATTTCCTCTTTCTGCCCAATTCTGGAGATCAGAAGTTTTCTGAATATTTAATGCTCCGGTGATAGTTTGGTCACATAAACTGTGATGACCATATGGGCTCAGAGTTCCAGTATTGTAGGAGAGGCCTCTGTGAAACGGGAATGAAGACCGTAGGTAATTTCAATAGGTGGACCAGATAGCAATAATGTAGGCATCAGATCCATTGTTCGGGGCTCTTGTAAAGCTGCCGGAGAGGCTGTTGTTGGAAGAGCAGACTTGGGGCGACTGCCAGGGCTGCTGGGGGAGGCGGTGCTGCAGGGAAGCTGGAAGCACTTGACCAGAGCTTCAGGTGCAGGTGTCTTTGGTTCCAGAGAAGGTGGGGTTTTTTAATTGTTTCATTTGCTAACAGCTTTACAGAGATATAACTGACGCACAATGTACTTAAAGCCTATAATTTGGTAAGTTTTCATGTACGTATATATTTACAAAAACATTACCATAGGAAACAAAACCGAACACAATCATCACCTGTAAAAGTTTCCTCGTGCCCTTTTGTAACCCCTCCCACCTGCTTCCTTGGACCCCCTCTGACCCACCCCCACCCTTGGATCCAAAAGCAACTATTGGTCTGCTTCCTGCTAGGCTTGTGTTTTCCAGTTTTTTGCAAGTAGAGTCATCTGGTATGTACTCTTTTGTTGTTTAGCATCTTTCGGTCGGCAAAATGCGGTCCCTCCTTGCTGTCGGATGTGCCAGAGCTCATCCCTCTCTACCAAACGCTATTCTGCTCCATGTTTGTCCTGTCCCCTGTTTGTCCGTCCTCCCTGCGGAGGGATGGGCATTTGGGTTGTTTCCAGTGTGTGGCTATGACAAATAAAGGTGCTATCCACACGTGTGTGCAAGTCTCTGATGTTTGTTTTCACCTCTCTTAGGTAGAGTCTAAACTGTTCAATGACTGGGTCACATGGTGGACGTGTGTGTAACTCTTTAGGAAACTGCCAAATGATTTTCCAAGGTTGTGTCATTTCACTTGCCTGTGGGCAGTGTGGGCAGGTTCCAGTTGGTTCCCCGCGTCTTTCCTTGCATGCGGTATGGCCAGTCTCTCCGGCTTCAGGCATGTTAATGGGCATCCAGTGGTGTCTTGTGGAGGTTTTGATTGACATGCCTTGTATGACTCTATACTGAACATAGTTTGATGTGTTTCCCTGCTGTCTGTGCTGCTTTGGTGAAGTAAGTGTTCAGTCTACTGTTGTTTTTAATTGGACTCTCTGTGTTCTCATTCTGGGTACAAGTTCTGGGTACAAGTCTTTTATCAGGTATGCAACTAGCAAATGTTTTCTCTGTCTGTGGCTTACCTGTTCTCTGAACAGTGTCTTTCACAGAACAGAAATACTTAATTCATTATTTTTTTCATTTATGAGTCATGCTTTTGGTGTTGTATTTGAAAAGTCTTTGCTTAATCCAAGGTACAAAGGTTTCTTTTAGTTTCATAGTTTCAGGTTTTACATTTAGTCCTATGATCCATTTTGAATTAGCTTTTGTGTATATATAAGATGTAGATCAAAGTTCCCTTTTTGCCTACAAATAACCAATTTTTAAAATTAAATTTATTGGGGTGTCACTGGCTAATAACATTATATAAGTTTCAAGTGTACAATTCTATGGCACATCGTCTGCATATTGTATTGTGTGTTCACCACCCCAAGTCAAGTCTCCCTCCATCAGCATATGAAGTAACCAATTTTTAGACACTGTTTATCAAAATGTATCCTTTCTCCACTGACTTGCCTTTGAAACTTGGTTGAAATTCATTTGACCACACGTGTGTGGATCTGCTCAGGGTTGAACGTGCTGACTGTGTACACCCTGGTCTCTCCCCGATCTTTGGGAAAATCATTCAGTATTTCACTATCAAGTGTGATGTTAGCTGTCTGTTTTTCATAGGTGTACTTTAGCAGGTAGGAGGAGCTCACTTTTAATGTCTAGTTTTCTGAGAGTATTTTTTTAAATCAGAAATGGATGTTGAATTTGCCAAATGCCTTTTCTGTGTCTGCTAATATGATCATGTAGTTTCTTCATTCATCTGTGAATATAAATATGTTACATTGGTTGATTTTCAAATGTTAAATTGATATTTCACTCCTGGGATAAATTCCATATGGTCATGGTGCATTATTCTTTTTATGTGTTGCAGCATTTGATTTGCTAAAGTTGTTAAAAAAATTTGCATCTATGTCCTTGAGAGACATTGGTCTGTAGTTTTTTTATTTTATTTTTTTTTGTAATGTCTTTCTGTGGTTTTGGTATTAAAATAATGCTGGTCTCAAAGAATGAGTTTGCAAGTATTCCCTCATCCTCACATTTCTGCACGAATTTGTATAGAATTGGTACAATTCTTCCTTGCATTGGTACAAACTTCCTTTGTTTGTAAGAAGGCCTTTGCAAAGTTTTCTTTGTAAGAAGGCCTTTAACTACAAATTCATTTTCTTTGACAGATGTAGAGTATTTGGGTTATTTATTTCTTCTTGAGGGAGCTTTCGTCATTTGTGTTTTCAATAAGTGTGTCGAATGTGTCAAATGTACTGGCATAAAGGTGTTTGTTCATAATGTCCCTTACTATTCTTTTAACACCCATCAAATTTCTAGTGACATCCTCTCTCTCCCTCATTCCTGATGTTGGTAATTTGTGTCTTCTCTCTGGTTTTCTCCCTTCTGGTTTTTTTTGGCTTCATGGCTGCTCTCTTTTTGGTTTTCTGCTTTCTGTTTTTTTTTACTGGGGTTTGTTCTGATCTTAGAAACGGATTTTCAGTGACCGTTGCAGAAGGGGAGGACTCGACCTTACCATTCTGACGCTTGGCGATGCAGAGGAGGTGGTACATTCCCATGGACGCGGGCTGTGTGATGGACCGGCTGGCGTGCGAGCACAAGAGACACAGTTCTGCCGCCAGGACCCCCAGACAGGGAGCGTCCACGCTTGCCTGGCAGAAGACAAAGGGGGGAAATGTGTTGCTGTGCCGAGTCAGCACTGGGTGTCCGTACCTGAGCCTCTAATGTACACGCCAGATGAGAACCGGAAGATGAGCCTTGGAGGGCACAGGAGCCGCATGCCCGCCTTGGTGCTGTTACTGAGCCTCGGTTTCTTCATCTACGAATTGCTGCCTGGTAACACTTACTCTGGAGACTAAGGGAGTAACGTGGATGACATGAAAGAAAGTTTGTAGCAAATGCTCAGAGATAACAGTGACTTGTTGAGTCTTTATTAGTTTGTGTTTCATAAATCAGGTAGCAATTCGCAGGTAACAGATTCCCAGGGTAGCTGCGGGGAGGTCACAGAGGTTGCTATCCAAACACTCTCAGGCTTCCTCCTCTTTGTATGAAAGAATTCGGGTGACTCTCTCGGCCTCTGGAGAAATGTGACTTTTCCTCCTGAAACTGCTCTGATTCTTCCCAGGGAAATTCAGTGTTTAAAATTCAGAGCACTGAATTCTGATGTCAAAGCTACTACCACGCACTTATGTATTGCTCCCTGCAATGTCCTTAAAATACAGGCTGCTCAAATATGTACCGTATTTTTCAGACTCACAGTCTGAATTTTCCCCCCAAATTTGGGAAGGAGGGTGTGTCTTATGGTCCAAATGTAGCTTACCTGGCACTCTGTGGGGGTGCAGTGGCCTGTGTTATTTATGTTATTAAATATTTTACCACATTTTTTGCTTCAAATTTTTTTCCCTATTTTCCTCCTCTAAAACCTAGGTGTGTCTTACGGTCCAGTATGTCTTACAGTCCGAAAAATTCGTTAGGTTTTCATCTTGACTGATTTGTTTGGCCAGATCAAACAGAAAAGAAGGGACTGGAGATGTAAGAGAGGAGAGGTGGAAGAGGCATTTTGCTTTGTGAAGGTTTCAGGACAGTGACCATTTTCCTTTTGTTGTCGTTATGTTCTGTTTTCAAACAGCTCCGTCCACATGTAGGTTTGATAAGCTACTGGGCCCACAGAAGCTTCTTGTCTCTGAGACTAGGGATTACTTTTCCTGGATAAATTCTGTGGTGACTGGAATAAATGGTGGTGGTAAAACTGGAGTCAGGTCGGCCCTCCAGGGGACCCCAAGGCTTGTCTGGCCTTCTTTCTACTTCTCTCATGTTCCCTCATCCCTGCCTCTCCTGCCGCTTGACCCAGCCACACCTGCCCACTCCCCCTCTGTCCCTGTTTCTGTCTGTCCGTCTGTCTATCCCCTCTCTCTCTCTCTCTCTCTCTCACACACACACACACACACACACACACACACACAATCATTCTGAAGAAGGATGTGAAGTGACCTGGGTCCTGGACCACGAGCATAACTGAGTTAGGATGCTGAGAATGATGATTTCAGCAAAAGATGGAAAGACAACTTTTTCTTCGGTGAATGTTCTCAGATCCTTTCGCGTAGACTTCTTTGTAAGGCAGGGCTGGGGACTCTCTCTATTGTAGCAGTCCTATAAATGTCTTATCAACTCTTACTGAGACTAAATTCTTGTCTGTGCTCAATTATCTATTTTCGATCATCTTTTTTTCTCTCTACACTGATCTCATGGATTTGGAGGGTTTTCTCACACATCTCAGTTGTCTGGTCATATTTAAGAATGTGATGTTTCGTGTGTGAGCAAGACTTGTCAGCCAGTGCGCTTTGCTTTCAAATGGCGAGGTGGAGAGACTGGGGTCATGGAGATCTAAACAACATCAGGATAATTTTGCTGGGGAACTGAGAGCTGTTTTGAGAAAAAAAAAAAGCCTCAGATTTCGCCTACCAGTGGGCCCGTGTCCCGTGGGGTAGAGTGTGTGTGTTGAGGAGGGGAGGCAACGTGTAGTCTTCTGCAAGAACTCGTGATGAGTCCTTTCAGTGAATGCTCCTGTTGTCAGCCTGCCTTTGCCTCCCACCCGTTCGTCAGTGTTACTTGGGCTTCCCCAGGGCCAGCCTCTCTGGGGTTCCACCAGGTGTGCTGCCTTCCTTTTCAGCTGTCCCCCAGCCCAGGTTCCTGTGCTGTGCCGGCCTCTCGGCCCCCCAGCCAGGCTCTGTCAGCTCCCAGGTTCCTTCCACTCTCTCCTGCAGTTGGTTGGTGTCACCAGCCTGCCAACAACCCTTCGCTTCTTCTCTTTGTTGCTGTGGGTTTATACCCTCAACAAATGTCATTGTTGTCATTTTGTGAGAACTCAGGGGGCAGAGAAGATAAAGACATGCCTGCCCATTTGTTAGCTTCGACTGGAAATCTTCCTTACCTGACGACATTTTTTTTTCCTTGAGTTTTAGAGAGAGAAAGGGGGAGGAAGGGAGGGGGAGAGATGGAGAGAAAGAGAGAGAGAGACAGAAACAGTGACTTGAGAGAGAAACATTGATTGGTTGCCTTTCGTAGGCTCCTCTACCAGGGATTGAACCCTCAACCTAGGTAGGTGCCCTGACTGGGAATTGAACCCGCAACCTTAGCTGTATGAGATGATGCTCCAACCAACTAGCCACACCAGCCAGGGCTTCCTCCAATTTTTTAAATGCTCAAGTGCCAAAGAAACAAACCTAGGGGAAAAAAACCTCTGTTAATGATATAAGGTGACGTGTTTGGCTCACATTTCTTGAAGAGTTTAATGGAAATAACAAACATTCTTTGTGGCAGTTTTTTCATGCTAATGGGCATATGGGTCATGTAAGAGGAATACCACTTAAAACTATGTCCGATGGAGTATGAATGATAGTCAGGGTTGTTCAGTAGGACAGGAGCTTCTGAAACTCTGGAAGACATAGGCTAGGGTGGTGTACAAAGAAAAAAGTCTTTTTTTTTTTTCAGTGAATGCAGTGCTTAGGGATTAGGTGGGTTCTCCTGAGAACAGAGTTGGCAGTGGCATTGCATTAGAGGAGGGCAGCACAAATCTTCGTCGATTTGTCTGTGTCCTAGAGATACTGTGCACAAATCAAGCCCTGTGGGAAGCTCAGCTTTTAATTTATTATTTTAATTTATTGATAATATTTTAATTTATTTATAATAGTTTTGATTGTTTTGTTTCATAGACTTATTTCCCCACCCCATTAATATCATCGACTTAGCCATCTTTAGAAGACATTATTTGAAAGGAAAGTTCACTTGGTGAAGTTGGATGTGGCCACAGCTGGGAGCTCAGTGTCTGTGTTGTGGAGCATGCTGGTCTGCTTCCACCTGGTGGCACGCGGCGGCATTGCAGGGCGGAGCGGTGGGCCGTCGCCGCTTGGCTTCTCAGACAAATCTGTCTTAGCTGGGAACCCTCAGCAGTGCGTGTGTGAACACTTGTTCTTACACACTTGTTCTTTCACAGTGGAGGGGTGGGCTGTGGGCAGGGGACAGTGAACGTTACAGCTGCCACCCAGAGAGGCTGAGTATCCCCGAGGGGGAGGTGTGTTCGTAGACAGTATAAAAGGTAGGCAAGGACGTCACTCAAAACACAGAGAAGCCCGGTCAATACCGGCAGTTAGGAGACACCTGTTCTCCTCCACCTGGAAGGCCCCGGCGAACAGGCCTGGCGGCAGCCCCGAGTGCGTGATGGCGTGAGGGAAAGGCCACTCGCGCCTCTGGGTCGTGCGAACCGAGAGGCAGCAGTGCTTTCTTTCCTCGGCGTCAATCTCCTCGTGCGTTTTGATCCACTGTCTTTCTGAGCCTACTCACACGCTTGCACAAAGATGACCATTTTCGTATCGTTTGAAGGAGAAAACAAAAAATATACCAAACTATTCAGTTGAAAAGTCCATCAGCTGAAGAACAGTTAAGTAGATTTTAATATATTAAAGTTCTGGAGTGTATGCTGTGATTAAAAGAATGAGCTATATCTATGAAAATATCTGTAGGACATATTGTTTGTGGAAAAAGCAAATTGCAGAACCATGGGTAAACATGACACAACTTTAGTAAAGGAACGCTGAGGAGCAAAGTTGTGTTCTCTCCATGCGTGCATGTGCGGAGCCGTCTGAGAACTGTTTATGGGCGGCACGCACAGCAGCTGGCAAGGTGAGAAGGAACCGGGGTGGGGAGGAGGGCAAAGGAGACTTCAGCTGTATCTCTGGTATGTTTCAATGAAAGTACTCAAGAATCACTTGCATAAATTTAACATAAATAAATAATGGTTTAAAATATGATAGAGAACTGTGGTACATTTACACAATGGAATACTGCACAGCAGAAAGAAGGAAGGAGCTCCTACCCTTCGCGACAGCATGGATGGAGCTGGAGAGCATTATGCTAAGTGCAGTAAGCCAGGCAATGAAAGACAAATACCATGTGATCTCACCTTTAAGTGAAACCTAATCAACAAAACAAACAAACAAGCAAAATATAATCAGAGACATTGAAACAAAGAACAAACTGACAGTGACCAGAGGGGAAGTGGGAGGAGATAATGGAGGAGAGAAGGGGAAGGGTCATCAAGGAACTTGTGTAAAGGACCCATGGACAAAGCCAAAGTGGGTAGGACTGAGGGTGGGGGCTGGGAGTGGGTGGGGCGGGGAAAGTGGTGGCAGGAAAATGGAGACAACTGTATTTGAACAACAATAAAAAATGATTAAAATATGATAGAAAAGGAGAAATAAGAAGGAAAATACAGATAGAAGACTTTTGTAAGGTCACAAATAATGTTGGTTGTGGTCTGCAGAGGAGAATCAACACAGCAAAAAGCTGGTTTGGCACACTTGTACTCTTGGTGTGAAGCACGAGACACCTTAGTCTGTTGTCTGAGAAGTTCTGCTGATTGGCAGAGTCATGCGGGGCACTGACGCCTTTCCTGATATCTCAGCCTGCCAGCACAGCCATGCCCACGGGCTGCTGATGCCCTCCAGACTCGGGTCTCAGAAAAGGGTGCTGCGGAAATGCAGTCTTCAGAAGCACCCAGTGACTTACACTTTCCTTGACTTTCTTGGCTGCGAAGATGAGCACCCTGCTGATGATCACCAGGATTCTCCCCTGCTGGCCCAGCCTGTCTCTGCTCATCCACACGATCATCTCCTGTTGAAAACACAGGGGTCGTCCTAGAGCCATGGATTTGCATTTCTTGAACAGAGGCGACCTCGCCGTGTCAAGGGTCCCCACGCCTCTGATTTCACACCTCACCGATATTTACTTAAAAGATACACAACCGCCAGCCAGTAGACTTCCATCTACTCGTGCACTCCTTTGTCTGCTGTGGGAACTACACCTAGGTTTTATGTGTTCGGTTCTACCCAACAAGTATTGACTGATGCTCCCTTTAACACAAGGTGACAAGGGGATCATTGGTCCTTCTTCCTCTTTTCTTTCAAAATACACATTCTCTCTTATTATTTTTTCATCACAGGATCTGATTTTCAGTGTAAAAACTTGAAATGCTATCTGATCCTGAAATGTCATCTTATCCCAGAACTTTCTAAATTCACCACCCAGGTATTTCCTGGCTCATGGTTACAGAGTACATTTCTGGAGGTGGCTTGGTTAAAAAGTTCTTGCAAATTTTGATTTTAGTCTATCTTACTGTGACTTCTGTTTGTCCTAAATCCTCAGGTACAGTGGCACATTAACAACCTTGGGGAGGGACGAACACCGGCCTTTGTTTCACAGGCTGGTCGCTATTAACAGACTTCTGCTTAAGGCAGTCTGTCGAGTCCATAGTATTTATGCCAGTGGCTGGCTGCAGGTGCTCCCATTGTATAAAGCGTTCTGAAATCCATTTCTTAGGGCAGAAGCATCTCTAAAGTTCGGCAGCGGGGCAGGGGGAGGGCATCAGCCTGTGCCTTTTCCAGTAGTGAGAGGTTCAACATTGTTTGAGAATCAGGAGTGTTTCTAGACATGGATGGTGTAAGACTAAGGTGGTTAAGTAACAGGCTCCCAAGTTATAATAGCTCCTTTGCTCATTAGCATTGCATATACTATTGCTCCTTTCTCTGCTTCCATTTCCCTATCTGCAATGTGGGAGAAATAATGGCAACTTCCTCACAGGGTTAAGTACCAAATGAGATATAACCCATGTTGTAAGTATTCAGCTTAGTGCCCGGCATACAGTAACTGCTCCCTAAGCAGCATGGGGGTGGTGGTGCGGAAAGAGCACATGTGGGAGAGGGTTGTAATGATGGAACAAGAATGATACTATAAGAAGCTATGCAGTTAACATTTTAAAAATGTGCAGAAAACATTTGCCTCAAATTAGGCACCAATTAACTCAAGATATTTCACTTTCCTTCACCGTCTTCCTTGTCCTGATGCATGCCGATTCGGCTTCTGTATTTGAGTGTAGTTTATGATTGGACAACCCGCGGATGCTCTGGGTAGAGTAGGTGCATCTGGTTTTCCAGTATTTCCAGACAGCCACCCCCTGATGCCATCATGCATGGAATGCAAAATTAAAGACCACAAGCTGTCCAGAGATGTCTTCTGTCTCTGGCTGGGACATCAGGGACACAGTGAGGTGTGGGATGTAAAAGTGGGTTTGGGATGATTGTTAGGGTTTCTGGGGATAGCATGGTGTCCATGATAATAGGATGACTGTGAATTCCCTAGCTGCAGAGCTGCTAGGGAAGAACACACATATAGATCCTGCCAAAGTTGGCTCGCTGTCCCACCAACTGGTTGTCTACCATCCTGTCTACCATCCCATTCCCTGGTGCCCCGTGTCACTGCCACATGGCGCTAGGCTTCTCAAATGTCTGTTCATGCCATCCTCCCAAAGTTAAATTCTTATAAGGGAGTCTCTGTAGTTCAAATTCAGGGAAGTGATTTCATTTAGGTGTAACTTGCATACCTTGGGAGGAAAAAAATTTTTTTTAGCTGCCAGATATTTGAAGGAGATGTTACATATGGCAAATGGGAAGTAAGAAGTGCAGTGTCCTTGGATTTATGACACAAGAACAAAATTGTTCCTTTTCCCTTTACCTTTAAGATTTGCAGTTTGTAGAAGTCTTTAGACACTAAGATTAGAAGAGTGTCTTCATATACGTTTAAAATACTTTGGTATAATTCCTGAAAAACAAAAATATATTGTAAATAACCAGCATGCCTTACCTAAAATTGTACCCCATTGTCTATAGGTTTTGCATCCTGGTGTCCTGAGTTCTTCCCATAAACCTCAGGTAAGATAGGAGAGTGGTAGCTATGGTGATGAGAGCTCACCCAATGCCATGTGCCATGTGTTTCTTCTAGAACCCGCACGGCCGGTGCACCGTGCGGCTCTGCAGAGGAAATAGAGACCATACACGTTGCTGATCTTACTATGGGACTCTTCCTGGCTCCACTTCTCTCTGCTGCCATTTCCTTCTTTGCAGAACTTGCCAGTAAACTCCCTGTCCTTACTCAACCAGTTAACCAAAAATCCATTCACCCATTTGTCCCTGTAAAACCTATGCAATCCATTAAATCCCGTGGGTTGCAGAATTCATGAACGCAGGGGTAGAGATCAGTGCTGGAAAGTGCTGTGTATCTGTGGTATCTAAAAGGAGCGAAGGAGAAAACCACAAAGGTGTGGTCTGGGAAGAGAGGTTGTGCAGGACTGCTGTGTGCTCGGCGATGTCTCCTCACGTTTAGAGGGGGCAGGCTCTCACCTGCAGGTCCTCGTCATCGCTGCCGTTCCCCATTTCTTTCACTTCCTCCAGACAGGGGATGGTAAATACACTTTTAAAGGATGACTCTATGATCTTCAGCTGAGTTTCAAATTGTAGTAAAGGATCCACAAAGCTGCCAAGGAAAAGGTGTAGTGATTAAATTGAGGAGAAAACAAATATAACCTACTTGTGGTGACTTCTTTTTTTAATAAGAGAGTGTGGACTAGAAAAGGAGGCCCATCTTTTGGCGTTATATGACCTGTGGGTTTTAAATTGTCTCATAAAACTGACGATGGTGCTTTAAATACAAAGGGATGATATCTGTAATCAGTTATTTGGAAATCAGACTATTTTTCTCAATAGACATAATCAGGTAAAGTGGTTACATTCTCAGCCACGCCCAGCATTGGGCACTTGAAATAAGTTACTGCCACATTTTCTCTGATCCATGATACTATGTTTCTCACATTTTAGCATTTCTGATATTGGAATGCATCTTCCAATTGATGGCAAAAGATAGATATGTCAGTTGTCATACAGTTGTTATTCCTTTGGTATATGTGATCTGGATAACAGTCCTTCCTGATTTTTTTTGAGGTGAAAATAATTATATTTTTTAAAGGTGGTGATATTATATGATAAAATATGGAATCTTGTGGGGGACTTAGAATGTCTACTGGTGAAGATACTGTCTCTGAGATTCATTGTTTTGAATGGAATATCTTGGAATATATTAGGTAATTTTCAAATCCTGGAAGATTGATTTGTCATTCATCAGCTGTAATGGATTATTAGGCTCTAAATAGGTATCTATCAAAAGTTTCTAATTGACTTTTCAGTGGAAGGTATTGAATGTCTAGGAATATATGAATTGTTTTAAGAAAATGCAAAATTAAGACCAATGAAATAGAAAACAGTGTCTTTCCATTTACTTTGAAATCCTATCATTGGTCCTAAAACATTGCTAAAATGGTTCAGGTTACAAACAAGGGTAATGAAAGTAGCATGATACTCTGATGCCGTGATCGTCAAATGTGAGGTGGGAAGAAGGCTGAGAGTCGGACACTGGCCACACTGGAGAAGAAAGGCACATGCCACTCTGTGGGTCAGCTTGGGCAGCTGTCCACGAGTCTGGCTTTTTGATGGTGGGGGGTCTGCCTGTGACTCTTTTCCAAAAGAGCAGTCATTAAATTACTAATGTGCGTTACAACAAGTGACAGCTTAGTATAAATGTGTTCTTATATTCCAGGGGGTGTGACTAGGTGGTATGGAAAGGCACTTGAGAAGAAAGAATAAGTGTTCCTTACTAAATTGCTGTGTGAGTTTGCTTTTGTTAAAATTTTGAGCTAAGTATTTGTTTCACAGATTAAAGTGAAGTGAGAAGTAGACCAAATATTGATATACTGAACTTAGGAATTTTTAAATGAAGCAATAAGTCTATTTAGATAACATCGATACACAAAGGGCAGTGTACATATTTGCAAGTATAATTTTCAGGATGAGAATTGAATTTTAAAAAGTAGGTACCTCCTAATAAGAGCATGGGGAAATTATAATAGATGTGATCAGAAAGAAATCAGGAAGGCCATATTAATAAGACACAATGTTTAATTCAAATCAGAGAGTATTAAGGGAGCTAGATATACTTGTTATAAAAAATAAAAGGCATAGTTAATAATGTGGAATATCCAAAATCACATGGAAATGGAATGTATAAATTATTGAATATAATTATTAAAAATATACATTACATTATTAAAGATACAAGGAAAAATGGAAATTATTAAATGAAATCATTAAAGATACAAAAAGAAATAGGAACATTATTATAGGAAAGATTAAGCATTCCCGTATTAGCATATGGTAGGTAAAAATAAAAATTCTGCCCTGGCTGGTGTGGCTCAGTGGATTGAGCGCTGGCCTGCAAACCAAAGGGTCACTGGTTCAATTCCCAGTCAGGGCACATGCCTGGGTTGAGGCCAGGTCCCCAGTAGGGGGCACATGAAAGGCAACCACACATTGATGTTTCTCTTACTCTCTTTCTTTCTCCCTTCCCCTCTCTTTAAAAATAAATAAATAACAATCTTTTAAAAAATTCTGCAAAAGAGATAATGAATATAATTAATAAGGAGGTGTACTTATTATCTATACATATAATAAATTGTATTAAATGAAATAAGGATTATTTTTTGAGACAATGATGAAATGCTGACAAATATTTATGATATGCTTAGCCATAGAAAGTTTTTAAATATGAAAGGATATATGTTTCATTCTATAATTACAATGAGAAATCTGTGTTAGAAATCTATTTTTTAAATTAGAGGATTCAAAAATAATTAAAATATTTAAATACTCTCAGTAGTTTTTCTCATTTAAAATGAAGAAAATAACAAACCAAGCACATATCTTAAAATTTTAAAAGGACTAAAAATATAATCAAAGAAATGAAGGTCCTGGTGATTACGGGGGGGAGAGGGTGTAAGAGGATTATATGGTACTTAAGAAAATAAAGATAAAAAATACAAAAAGAAAAATGTTATAACTTGTAATCATAATGTTTAGTCTTTTTATTAAAAATGAAGGACATAAGCAAAAGGAGTACTTTACAAAATAAGAAAAAGTGGGAAAAAAGAGAAAAAGGGAAGCTCATAAGTATAATGATCCTCAGTGGCAAATTTAAATAAAGATGTAAAAATTAAATCAGAGGACTCAAAACTAAATAATAACTGAGAAGGACTGCATTACTAAAAAAAAAGGAAAAAGCTATTACAAAGGTTTATTAGAAAGAGAATGGATTTATATTTTTAAACTATACAGGCATACATGAAAATATAATGTGTGAATCTTTATGGACCAAATAATATTTGGATGATATATGAAAAGCACAGTCTGTAATAAATAAAAAAATTAAAGGAAAACTATTATGTGGATAGGCAAAAATTGTTAAATTAAAATAAGGAGTGGGGATCATAATCCAGGGTCTGCCGTCCATGAAACCTATAAGATGCAAATTTTGTTTTTATGTGCCTGTGTATTTTGAGGGGAAAGAGTCCAAAAATTTTATCAGATTTACAAAAGAATAGGTTAAACGCATAGATACTGAGGACTTGAATACCAGGTGCTATGCATTTCACCTGCTCTGCATGCATTATTATCTCAATACATCTTCACGGCAACACTAGGAGGTAAGTATGATTGTTACCCCAACTCACAGATAAGGAACCTGAGGCCTAAAGAAGTTAAATGTCTTCTTCAAAGTCACAAAATCTGTCAGTGGTGGAGCTGACATCAGAAGCTTGGTCTGTCTGACCCCAAAGTCTTCACACTTAACCACTATTTCTTTTTGTGTAGTATTTTAAAAATATATTTTATTTATTTATTTTTTTAGAGAGGGAAGGGAGGGAGAAAGAGAGAGAGAGAGAAACATCAATGTGCGGTTGCTGGGGGCCGTGGCCTGCAACCCAGGCATGTGCCCTGACTGGGAATCGAACCTGCGACACTTTGGTTCGCAGCCTGCGCTCAATCCGCTGAGCTATGCCAGCCAGGGCTTTATGTATTTTGTAAATTCTAGTTACTGTGTTTTTCAGCCCTAAGATATACCTAGGTTTTTAGAGGAGGAAAATAGGAAAACAAATTTGAAGCAAAAAAAATGTGGTAAAATATTTAATAACATCAATAGCATAATATTTCACCAATGTAAATGTAAACAGAACTCAACAGCAGCATTAACAGCCATTATTCCTCCCAAATTTGGCCAGGGGGTGGAATTGGGGGTGCGTCTTATAGTCTGAAAAATATGGTAATTCAACTAGGTAAGACACACACACACACACACACACACACACACACACCCCCCCACTTCAAAACAATGAGTTTGTAAGCCTAGAAAAAATCACTAATTAATGGAAATCAGGGATCTGGTTATAACTGGTTATTCAAATGGAGTTATAATAAAAGACAATCTAAAATATATAAACAAATATTTATGAGTATAAAGTTTAAAATTTTAGAACAATGATTTGTAAAAATAATAAAAGAGTAATATAATACTACCAATCATGATTTACCATTGGAATGTAAAAATGGCCCAATATTCTAAAAACTATTAATCAATACATATGTACTAATAGATTAAATAATAGTTCTTTAATCAAACCTGAAAATGTATTTAATAAATTTCAACACCATTTTCTAAGAAAAAAAATAATTTCTTGAAAGGTTTTGTTTAAATCAAGAATGAATATATTGCTAATTGAGAAGTAATGTGTTTTCATTAAAAACAGGAACAGCATAAGGGTTTAATTTCTTATTTTGAAATATTGTGTTAGAGTTTCTTATATTTCAAATAAGACACAGTCTAATAAAAAAAGTTTGGTAAGCTCAATCAAATACAGGATAAACATAACACTGCCCCAAATCCGACTACATCTCAGTACATCAGTAATTGCTTTCCACATGATAAAATGAAACAGAAACCAAAATACAATGTATCTAATAAATTAGGAGTGTGCAAAGTCTATATTAAAAATACTTCAAACTTTTAAGGGAGACATAAAACAAAGTTTGAATAAATAAAAGTATATTCATAAATAGATTATTTATAAATGCCAGTTATTCTCAAATTATTTTACAAACTGTGAAACTGCAATTAAAATTTTAGAACATTTTCATCAGAAGCTAATAAAGCACACTTACATTTCGTTTGGAAAAATAAATTGGGACGACTACCATAGACTACTTTGCTGAAAAAGATCAAGAAAATAAGGAAGCTCTAGCTCAATCAGCTGAGAGAATCTATTATGAAACAGCATTAAATCAAAACAGTGTAGTGGTGTTTATAAAATAAACTCTAAATAATGTGACAGAATAGAAAATGCCCTAATATAGAACTAGCAAACACATAGATAAATTCTCTATCTCCTTTTCCAGGCCAAATGCAGCATTAATTTATTGTGACAGTATTTCATGCTTGGTCAAATTGCAATCTGTTACCACCCTGCTTTTTTTTCTACTTGAAAAGTCTGTTGAGACAGTTGTAGATTCACGTGCCGTTGGAAGAAGCAGTACAGAAAGACCTCTGTACACTTCACCCAGTTTCTCCTAGTGGTAACATTCTCTAAAAACTGTAGTGTAATGCCACCACCACAGTATTGATATCAATTCCATCCACTGATCTTGGTTGGATGGCCCCGGTTTTACTTGTGCACGTGCTCATGTGTGCCTTTAGTTCTATATGATTTTATCGCTTCCGTCAAGATACTGAAGAGCTCAGAACCCTTGAAACCCTTAACTATTCCATCATACAGACAAATACAAAAAAAATAATCGAAATGGTTAAATATGCCTTTAGAAAGGAAGTATCTGAACTCAGCGTTGTCTGTATCAGGGGTCAGCGAACACCTTCTGCGGTATCCAGATAACACGTGAGGCCTGGGTGCCTCTGTCTACTCCGGCTCGGCCCTCAGAGCCCAGAGGGAGCCACGGCGGCATGTGAGTGAGCGGGTGCGGCTGTTCCCCAGCAACACAGCCTTCGTGGACCCTGGAATTTGACTTTCATATCACGTCCACAGGTTATGAAATAGTCTTCTTTTGATTTTCCTCCCAACCATTTAAAAATGTAAAAAAACCCATTCTTATCTCTCAGGATGTACAAAAATAGGAGGCTGTGAACACAGCAGGACTTAGCACACGGGCCATAGTTTGTTGACTTCCAGTCCGTATGATGGCATTGGGAAGCATAGCTTAAATTAGCTCATAAATAAAAATAACTTAGAGACTAGAAAGTAACAAAAATCAAGTAACAAAAAACAAAGAGATACTGAACATAATATTAAAGTGCAATGTAGAATTAATTTTTTTATCAGCTATACAAAAAAGTAAAAGAAAAATATGGATGGCTATGACTATGAAATCATTTCTAACAAGATAAAAAGGAACATATTTAAAACCATAAAAACATCAGGAGATGCTTATTAAATATATACTACCACTAAAATTCAAATAAACTGGCAAAGAAAATGAGAAAATTCATAAATACAAAAACATATAGAAAATATTGTCTTGCTTATATTGAAAGTAATATAAATTAAATAACAATGAGGCAAAATGTTGAACCCATTATGTCATTAAATAGAAAAAAAGTAGGAATGCATTAAATTTAGGTGACTAGCCTTTTAATAAACACTTCTTATTAGTGCAGATTTCTGGATCACAAATTGACAGCATTTATTGAAAGCTCTAAGAAGGTTCATCCCGTCCACATGTGTTAGGGTTCAGGGGAAGCAGAGCCCAGAACAAGATTTAGAGACGCACGAGGTTTTCCAGAGGAGAAAGGAAGGTGGGAGGGTTGGGGCAGGAAGCATCACGGACTGTGAAGGTCCAAGGGGAGTCTGGTCAGGCTGGTGGGGATTCCTTCAGCCAAGTCCCCCCCGGAGCTGTTTGTCCCACTGCATGGCGTCATCAGAAGGAAGGTCTCAGCAATGGTCCTGGTGGGTCTGCGCTGTTGAGTTAGCGGGGCTGCCGACCGATTGGGACCCGGCAGCAGGGCATTTCTGCGGTTGCCTGTCATCTGCGTCTACAACCTCACTCACAGAAGTGTGTTTCCAAGACATGTTTCAGAGAAGATACAGTCTTGTGTGTACACGGAGGATTATCATCATTTTAGTAAAACATGACTTAGAAAATTTCAAATTTTCAGAATACTCTCCTGCCATTAAAATGAAAATGATTATTAAGAAAAATGAAAACTTAAGATATAGTGCCAAAATCAAAAGTACTACAGAAAAATTGAGTGTGCGATCTACTTATGATTCTGGAATAATTAAATTATCTGTCTGTCCATGCAATACAGAAAGATTGGGATAGAAGGAAAGAAATACTTGCTGAGTTAGGATGATGGAATTTGGAATAATTTTTTTTTACAGCTGTGGTTTTTCTCTGTTACATTTTGTAGACAGTCATTCAGTGAAGTAAGAGAGAATTGCAGTTTATCATACCTGGAGTTTATGGACAGGATTAGGGCTTGATCATTTATGATGCTTGTGTATGCATCCCATAGGCTGTCAGCCTTGTGCTCCTGTATCAGGAAAAAGAGAGTAATCCGTGACAACAGACCTGGGAGCCTCGTGGCATCATGGGACCACACTGGACTGCACTAATGGGACTGTTTTGGATGGGGGGATAAGCCCACGAGTTCATAGATGTGTTAAGACAAGGCAAAGTGCAGTTTAAACCCACGATACCAAGTGCTGGCCTTTTTTGGCTTACCACATGTGCTCATATAGTTAGCATTTTCGGACACAGTTTTGTGAGGAGTGCCCATTACCAGGTGCTCTCCTGCACACCACTGTCACTGTTGTCATTCTGGCGTTCTGTAATAACATGGACCTCTGCTTCCAGTCTGTTAGCCAGCTCCTCTTCTCTTCATGGAGCCAAATTTGTCGCTGCGTTATCACTCCCCACGTTATTGCGCTGCCCCTGTTATTTAACATCACGTCTTCCGTTGCACCGCTGACTTACAGCACATACCTTCCTTGTCGGCAAGCATTTACTGGTGCCGTATTACTGCTATGTTTATTTAACGCAAAAGCCAAGGCGCACAGTGGCCAATAATGAGGGTGGGTGAGCTTAGAGAAACTGGTTCTTCAGGGGGGCCATTCTAGGAAGTTACAGGAAGGAGCCAGGGATTTGTTGTTTGGAGTGTGTGACATGCTCACTGGTATTCCCGGAAATTCTCCAGTGCCTGCCCTGGGGGAGGGTGACTGCCATTCCTGCCTTTCACTTCTGTTCTGTGGCTGCGTTCTCTTTCGTCTCATTTCAGCTACTCCCTAATCACCATGGGCCTTCACTGGACACCACAGTAAATGGTAAGCGATAGAACAGTACAGTCCTGGAAATCTGTACTTTGTAAGACATTTGAGAACACTAGGTGCTAGGACCAGTCTAGTGGGCTCTAAGCTTTTAAATATATTATTTTGGCTTTCTTCTCTAAGCTGACCACCTGTTTTTATATATATCTCCTATCACTGACATTTTTGTTCTCTATCTGTTGTCATTCTTGGCCAGAAAAATTGGAGTCATGCCAATTTAAATAGTTCTTTCAATCTCAGATGTTTCCAAGCACATGCATATAATATGTGTTTCTGATGCTACCTTAGCCTGCAGGAAAATTGGGTTGTCATAATAATCACGATTCTGAGGAGATCTGAATTCTAATTATTCCTAATAACTCCCAAGCAGTCCTGGGGATGCTCAGAGGGGGCCATGGACTTGGTCCTCTAGAATATGATGTGAGTCCGCACATTTTTCCTTCATTTCTCGATCACTAGAATTTAGACAACAGCAAAATACCAAAAAGTGCAGAGAGATGGGATACCTGAGTTGGGGGTGTGTATGTCCTGTGCCCTCACCTGCCGGGCTTGCTGTCTGCGCTGGGATTTTACTGAACATAGTGAAGCTGGTGTTGGCCTGTCTCCAGCGCCCTTGCCAAGTCCAGGTATTGAGGGAGCTGAATAAATTCAGCCACCACTCCCACACCTAGTGAAATCATTTCCACTCCTGCAGAAGCCACCAGAGCCAGCATCACTATACTGCAGATGCTCTGTGTTGTGGTTCTCCTTGCTTTTTCTTGTTCTTCTATTGCAAACGTAGGTGACAAATGCACAGTCTGACCCAGCGATGGAACTGAGATTGTCTGTAGAAGTGTCTCTTTCAGTAAGCTTTTAAAGCAGTGCACCCGGTTTATGTAAACAATTTAAAAAGCAATGCACATGCATGTACAAATGGGTAAACAGCTGGCACTGCTGTTTCCAAGTCCCCCCGCCCTAGTGTACGGTTGTGGCCGGTTTCCTGGGCATCCTTCCAGAGACAGGATGTGCACACATGGGAATGGTAGTGGCACTCTTTGGTGGGGAAGACTAGAAGATGGTTCTATTTTTTTCTGTAACTGCTGCTCCAATGCTCTGTCCTCCCTTCTTTACCAACCTCCTGCCCTGGAGTCCCTCCTAAGTAACTGTCACCCTTATTGACTCATTCCATGAATGTTCTGTCTTTTAGTTATTAAAACAGCTTCACCATTATTATTAATACTGAATCCTGTTTAAAATCTCCAACCTCATCATTTATTTGGTTTCCCTCCATTCCCAAGGCAGGCAAGATTCTTGGTTTTGGGGTTGTCAGAAGGTGGCATGGTGCTTATCTCAGTGACTCTGGAATCAGACTTCACAAGTTTGTATCCTGTCTGTGACACTTGGTAGTTATGTGACTGCAGGCGGGTCACCCGCTGCCTCAGTTTCCTCATTTTCCAAGTGGGGATAATGGTAGTCCTTACCCTGTTGGGCAGTTGTGAGGATTAAACGAGCCACTCATTAAAAGCACTCAGAGTGAGCCTCACACACTATGTAAATGCCATGGAAGGGTTAGCCATTTTTGCCATTATGGGAGTGGAAAGGGGGTTTCCTCTCTCACAGTTCGCTTATCTTTATCTTTGGGGTCGTGGCTGTGAACCGGGGAATATCTGCACTCGTGTTTTGTTTGCCCACACCATGGCTTCTTGTCCTCCTCCTGTTGGCATGACTTTATTTCTTTAACTTTAGTTTGAGAGTCTATTTATTAAAGCTGGGGACAGTGAAACAAGGACAGGCCTGGAGCGGCAGCAGCAGCAGCAGCAGGAGAGCAGAGCAGGCGGGGCCGCTCTGGCTGTCCAGGAACGCTGCGGGGAGGAAGTGAGCCCGGGCCGGGCTGCTGTCCGCTCACTGGAGAGTCAGAGAAAAGGGGGCCTTGGGGACAGTTTCAAGGGGTGGTCCTGGGGCAAGCTGCTGCTGCCCACCGCTCCCCTGGTTGCAGGTCTCATAGGGTCCCTTGGAGGTTCGGAGATGTACCCCTGTGGGGGAAGAAGTAGGGGAAGGGAAAAGTGCAGGCATCCTCCTGGGAGGGAGAGCGAGTTGCTGGTCATCACTTGTGACACAGTTGGGCGGGAAGGATTTCCCACAGTGGGATGATGGAAGGAGAGGGCAGACAGTGTGGTGGGTCAGACTTGCTCCCTTTTGAATTAAGGTTGCAGGTCATTTCCAAGGTCACACAAGGGTATACAAGAACATGACTTTGTAGTGGAAAAAAAGCCAAAAACACTGTCCAAAAAAACTACCATTTTTCTCTTTCACCCCCACACATGTATTTTAGGTACTAGTTATGACAGTCTCACGATGGAGAGAAATGTTTTCCCCCAAGAGATTTTGGTTACATTAATGTCCTCGTAGAATATAACATACCAGGTGTTGCCATTTCACACTGGACTGCAGACTCTGGAGGTCAGTGACTAGTCAGGGAGAAGAAGACCAGTTAAAAGGAAATACGCTCAATTTCTTGATATATATTTAATGTCTTACCACTGAGTGTGGTATATTCTGAAATTTGAAGCTGGTATGACTTTGATGGTAAAGCCCAACACATACCCACACATACACTAAAACTTCAGACAAATTCATTATGAATGTTTTTGAACAACACTTAACACAAAGATTAGCAAATAGGATACAGAAACATATTAAAAGAATACTGAACTATGAGCAAGTGGTATTTATTCCAAGCATGCAAGGATGGTTCAATAAAAGAAAACCTATAATATAATTCTCAACATTAATTGCTCCAAAAAAAGAGAAAATTCACATGATCATTTTTATTGAGGCAAAAATTTATGGTAAAGTTTAAATCTATTTTATTGATTTCAATTCTTAATAAAATAGATACGCAGTTAATTTCTTAATGTGGTATATGAACACAGAGGCTATAACCAGATGTAATAAGGAAATAACTAGAAATATTCTCATTAAGAACAAGACAAAAATGACCACTATCATTTTCCATTTCTGGACATTCCATCCACCATTGTTAGAAAACAGAAAAATAAAGTGTATTAAAATTGAAAAGGAAAAGGCTTTATTATTTTTGAATTTATACTTCATGGGAAAGGTACTTCATAAGTGCCTTTTAAATTTCTTTTATGTTATCAAAATTATTTAATTAGAATTGCATTCATCAATTAATAATATGTTTGGGTAAATCCCATATAAAACCTTCAGGACCTGCTATGTTTTTGTTTGGTTGAGGGGGTAGCCCTTTGAAGATTATTTTTATAACTTCCATTTTAATTACTCTGCTTAGATTTTTTAGGTCTCTTGCAATTCACTTTTTAAAATATTTTTAAAAATTTTAGAATAATTTTATGTTTACAGAAAAGTTGCAAACATAGAACAGAGTTCTCATATGTCCCTCACTGACAGTTTCCTGTAATATTACCATCTTACTTAGTTGAGGCACATTAGTCAAAACTAAGAAATTAGTATTATTAATGAAACTGTAGGCTTTATTTGGATTTCATTAGTTTTTCCACTTGTATTCTTTTTCTGTTCCAGAGTCTGATCCGGAATCCCTCACTGCATGTAGTTACCTGGTCTCCTTAGTTTCCTTCCCTTCTGTCACTGTCCTACAGTCTTTCCTTGCTCATGACCATGACAGTTTGAGGAGGACTTGGTCACATATTTTGTAGGACATCACTCAGTTTTCATTTGTCTGGCGTTTTTCTCATTGTTGGATGGGAAATACAGGATTTTGGAAAAATATCACAGAAGTAAAATGTCCTTATCATGAGATAGTACAGATTTTGAATAAATTCACTAGTCCTATTCTTTTCCTATTATCAAATTCAGGGATTTGACACCCTGGCTGGCATAGCTCAGTGGATTGAGCGCAGGCTGCGAACCAAAGAATTGCAGGTTCGATTCCCAGTCAGGGCACATGCCAGGGTTGCAGGCCACGGCCCCCAGCAACCACACACATTGATGTTTCTCTCTCTCTCTTTCTCCCTCCCTTCCCTCTCTAAAAATAAATAAATAAATCTTTAAAAAATTTCAGGAATTTGGCTTCATCTTTAATGTAGGCTTTCTTTCCTTCTGCCTTTCTCAGATTTATTTTGTTGTTCTTTTTCTCCCTTCTTATTTTGGATATTTGATTCACTTATTGTCATTCTTTCTGGTTTGTTATTCTGATTATTTAAGGTTGTAGTATTTTTTCTTTATC